ACTGATGTGTGGTGTGAGGGTTTGTCTTTCTGAACACATGAACTACATGAACCTTGCACACATTGCTGAAAAGGTTTTCAGAGTATGTCATCCTCTTTGGTAGCACTCCTCTGGGTTTGAATAATCTTTCTTCACTCAAAACTACAGGGAGAGGGAGGATCTATCAGGTACAATGATGGGGTCTATTGCCAAGGTTAGCCCACCTAAAAAGCAAAAAAAAAAAACAAAGAAAAAACTTGCCCATGGGCTGTTTTGAGAAATCTTGTTTGTGTTTTAGCGCAAGTCAGAGCAGTGACACAAGGATTGCAGTTGTGTTGTGATAATTCATTCCACAGCGGGCAACACACTGCACGCATTGCTCCGCTCAATAGAAAATAAAAAATACTTCAGGTTATTTTTTGATTGGGATGTTCACAGCGCGTCTCTCTCGGATAACTCATCCAATTGCCTTTCTTCACCAGCTCTTCTTCTGTCCCTACCTGTCTTCATTTCTCATTCAGCTGAAAGATTTATTATGTCTGTCATCTCCTTGTATCACCATACCAACACATCAGGTTGAAGTATTTCATTGGTATGTTCAAGCGTGTTGATGTGAGATGAGTAGAAATCATTTTAGAACTGTTAAAAAATACCACTGCAGCCATTAGCTCACATAACCTCCACCCTGTAGATTTTAGAAATCCCAATAAACAAACACACTCAGTTGGATTCTGCCATATGCCACGTCTGCTCCGGTTCATACACGTTTTGTGTGTGTGTGTGTGTGTGTGTGTGTGTGTGTGTGTGTGTGTGTGCTCCCACCGGCCCGCCTTCAACCCTCCCTAACTATAAATGACTTATCAGTTTTAATCAGACTGCATGTGGTTTTCAGACGGTCCATCACATACACCACACACATGCGCACACACACACTCTCTCTCTCTCTCTCTCTCTCTCTCTCTCTCTCTCTCTCTCTCTCTCTCTCTCTCTCTTTTTTTTATTTATTTTTTTATTTTTTCCTGGGCTGGAAAAAAGCAGATTGGGGTCGTAATAAAAGACAGGTGCACTTTTATTCCTTTTGAAAGCTCTCTCATCTCTCCTGAGTTGGAAAACAGAGGTGTACTCTCTCTTCATCGTATAACACTTCTCTTTCAGTGGCATGGATACCAGACCTACATCAAATAAAGTTTTTAGATCATCTCCAAGGACTGAGAGAATTTGCTTCTGTCTGCCCGGACAGACCAGATGGGCACAGGGAGTTTCCACTGGAACATTTCTGCAACCATCGAATGTGTTTGATTGTACGATAGACTGTATAAAGATGGCATGACAGCTTCCAAAAGTGAAGCCTAAACATCTCGATCGCCCCTCGGGATAGATCACATACCCTGCCCCCTCCATGTTTGCCATTGGAAGATAGTCCAAACTAAAAAAGTACACGTCAAATAAATATTTCTCATGGTTTCTGTCATTTAAGGTAGTTTATATCACATTGGTTTTAATTAGTTATTTGATGTTATAGATAGGGCCCTGTGATTTTTGCAATGCTTAACTTGCTTGAATTGCCTAATATTGTGGAATCTGCTAAAATGTGTATAAAAATCTGTATTTTCCCCTGGCATTACAAGTATTTTTTCCCCCACAGCACTTAAGCCAAATGAACAGAAGAACTGCTATGTTTTGGTGTCATTTACAGGCACACTGCTTCTGTGCTGTCGAGACAGGCAGTTCCTCATACTGTTGACTTCTTAGGCACTAGATGCAAGCTCGCAGAGTCAGATATTCCATAAGAAAAAGAAAGCCACTTCAGTTTCTGGTCAAGCTTTGTAAACAAGGATGAGCGTTTCTCACGTGAGAGTCGCCTCTATCAGACCCACTTATTACCCTGTGTTCGACCCGCACGTGGAGGCTGTGGGAAGTTTCGCTCCTCTGTTTGAACTGGAAGTCGTTCTGGTCCGACACCTTGCAGGCAACATCACTGGAGTTTCGTACTGTAGTAAAGACAGATAACACAATCAACTTTTTTTTACGTTTCAGTTATTTTCTGATTCACGATCTAGTTAACAATCTGTGTTCATTGCCAGCCAAGAAACAGCTTTCTTTGTTTTTTTAGAAAGATTTTTCTTTTGGTGATCTGTTATTTTCCCCCATTAACTTTTATTATGGATGCAATTGAAGTCAGAGAGAGTCGGAGAGTCTGTCTCTTTTTACATCATTTGTCATCATTTCCATTCAGTCACATGTGAGGCTGATAATTCCTGAGCGTCTGCTTTGATATGATTTACATCATTTCAATTTCCCCTGAAACATTTAGGCTAATAAATCATTTCCAATCTTCAAAAGACACCATGATCATATTATGGGTTATTCAGTAATGAATTCACAATAAAAAAATACAGATGCACTTAAGGAATAAATAATATAGGCATGATCCTGTGTATAAATACAGTATGCAGGTTGTTGTTCATGTGCAGGTTTTTGTTAAGCAGGTAACAGAGAGAGAACATGCTGCTCTGGCAGTGATAACTGTGTGCCTTTTATTAGTATCGGGACAGTGCACATGTGTGCAAACTCCATCAAAATCTGTACAGCAGTTAAAGCCGACTGACAACTTTGATCCAGCTGTGATCAGCCGTCATCAGATCACGTAGCGCTTCAGAGGACAGGACGTCTCTTTTCTCTAAAAGCATATTTTCTTCTCTCGTGGTTTCCTTGGGTCTCTATCTTGTGCATCAAGGAAAAGACGCAAGTAAGGGAAACGTGGATGTGATCGTGAGACTTCAAATGCACCCTTGGAAAAATACCTGTTCAGAACTGGAACATCCATTGTGCAGAAGCCAAGTTGTAATTAAATCAGAATTTATTTATTGATTTATTATTTTTTACACTTTTAACATGTATACAAGACAAAGTATACTCACATTGGACTAGCTCAGTACTAGTGTATTATTTGCAGATACACAATGCTGAAATGCATTTCCCAACGTGATCCCAAATTCATTCCAGAATTACATCCATGCCAATAACAAAGAAAAATTCAAGTAACCATGTTTCTGTTGAGAAAGAGAAGCTTCTTATGAATCTTACAGTAACAAGATCATTCTTTTAGCAGCCAAAAAGGCTGCTATTGTTAGTCTGAATTTCGTATCAGAATATCGACTAACAATGGCAGCTTTATTTGGTTTGGGAAGGGTCACAGTCCAGCGACATCAGCCAAACGTGTGTTTTAATACAACTTTTGATGTTTTTCTGTAGTACACATCCAAAACATTCAAGGGTTAGGATAGAAATTGTAAAAATTGTAATTACATTTTTATTTTCAAGACAGCACTACAAGACTAACTAGCCCTAACTACCCTGACACACACAGCAGTGACTGACCTTTTAGCCTGAAACATGTAGCTTTATTCTTTTAGTATATCATGTATGCAGCCATCAAGTGCATGTTTAGGACCCTTTACAAGATTCTGGTTTTCAAACAAATCAGCTGAAAACAGAGTTTTTAGCCAACTCACATGGTTTTAGCATTAGCATCAGCTTACACTGTCTGGCTACGGCTGAGAAAATCTTCTAGCGACAGCTGTCATTTCAGCAGACAGAATTCAGTGTCGTCAGTTAGAAATGAGAAGCCTTGTTTGTGTTTACTTCTGTGTGAAATTGAAGACCTGTTGTTTTACAGGTTACTGCAAATATCTAGTAGCAGATCTGCCATGGTTACCACAGTAAACTGCGTTATGTTATTGTGTGTAGTGCTAGAACAGAAAGCTTGACGAATCTTGAAAGTCTTGAGGTGCAGCCACAGTACCTTGGTGAGGCGGGGCTTATCGTACGGCCAGTCGGAGAGACAGATGTCAGTGTTTCTGTCTATATATGAATATCTCAACTTACTGTACATTAGGCTTAGTAATACAATTACATGGGTTTTTTTTTTATTTCTCATTACTTGTAATACAGTAGGGCATCAGGTTTTATCAGTTCATTTCAGAAACAGAAGTTGCTGTGCTCAGTTGAATTTATACTTTATTATACCTTTTTTTTTAACAGCTTTATGTCTTTATTTTAGTTTTTTAAATTGCCTTTAATAAAACTCCATCATTATAAAGATCTTGAAAAGTTACAGCAGATCCCCTTTAAGTTAATCTACTTCAGACTGAGTGTTTATATGAGGTCAGTTCATTTGGACTGAGTACTTAATAGGCTCATTAGGTGGCATAAACACAGTTCATGGATTGTCTCTGTGCTCTGGCCGACTCAGAGTGGGACCAGTCCAGCTTTTACCGACTTGGTAACGTAGTCTGATGGAACATGTCGGAGGAGGCGGCGGCACAGATGGATGAATGATCCTCTTGTTGCTGTGATCAAAGACTGATGACACAACGCAGTGTCACTTTATTTATTTCTCTCTTTGGCTTTGTTTTTGTTCCCTCTCTTCCTTCCTGTCCTGCTCTCCCATTCCTGCAGCACAAGATGACAGGATACGTGTGTGTGTGTGTGTGTGTGTGCGCAGTGTGTCTGTCAAAGTAAATAAGAGAAAATATGTGTCTTCATGAATTATTGTGTCTGTTTATAGAAAGTGTGCCCGTTCCTGTGCACGTGTCTGCATGCCTGTGTGTGTGTGAAAGAGAGTGTGTGTGGTCTGACTGTGTGTCATTTACCCCTTGCCTTGGCACTGCGTTTTCCTCCCGCTGTAACTTCCTGCCTGAGTGTTTCCAGTGGCATCCCTCACACTTCAACCATTGCTTTGGAGCCATCCCTCTATTCCTCTTTCCAAATTTGCTCCATCCATCCAGCCATCTATCTATCTATGCACTCAGGACTGCCAGACCACAGCCCGTCTCATTCATTAATCATCAGCATTGAGAAGGAACACAGGGTGCCGTCGGACGAGAGAGAGGAAATGTAGAAAGGTGGTGGGAATCACAAGTGCAGGAGATTGGAGGCTAAAACTAGAACCTCCAGAAAATCTAAAACTAATGCTGAGATGATCCTGATGATTAATCCTTTGTCTACTTGTTTTTCAGATCCCATTTTCGCTGGTGCAGTTTCCACTTTGGGAGTATTTAAAGGTATGTATCAGGGCTTCCCATAAATGTTTGTCTGACAGACTTTATTTCCTCTCTGTCTTTATTATCCACCTATTTTAACCCACACCCCACTCTCCACCCTTCCTCACTACCATCATTTACAGTAATTATACTCAGTGATAAATCGGTAGTTAAGTTATAATAGTGTGCTTACGCTCTGACACATTTACAGTCGAGTTCACCCTCTGCATTCCCCTGTATCATTGTGGCAGGCGAAAATGGGACTTTACACCCCGGTTTTAATGGGTTGTCACGACTACCATCAAACCAGCCTTCGATTTATCACGAGCATATTCAGTCCTGCATATCTTTCCCTTTCTCGCTTTTTTCACCTAACATCCTTAATATCTTTTTCTCTCCCATCTCTCTCTCTTTTTATTTTGCGGCCCTGAACACATAAAAAGCTGTTTCTCTTTGAAAAAAGAAGGCATTTTGTTGGAGTGACATCATGTCTCAAGGGCTCGAGAGGCGGACAGTCGAACATTCCATCAATGTGAGGAGCTAACGGCCCGAGCTAAGGCGAATAATACGCTGCACAGCTGTGTGTTTGTGTGTGTGTATGTGTATGCCGGTCTGTGCATTTGCGCGAGTTAGATTTTTGTCGTTCACAAGTGTCTCTTTGTCCCTCAGTCAAAGGCCCTCTCTCCCCAGGCCATCTGGACACGTCCGTTGGCGGAGAGCTGAACTGCTGGAATCTGGACTGCTCCTCTCCACTGTCTCTGTTTCTTCTTCTCCATCCATTGGCTCCCTACTCCCAGTCCTCCCAGATATATCCTCTATATTAACATGGTGCTCTGAATAGCTAATGAGGCGTTTCCTCAGTTATACTGGCAGACGCTAGCTGACTAGTCGAGGAAGGAAAAGAACAACTTGCAACCAAACAGGTTTTTACTGCCATTCCATCAGAGTGACCACCAAGATGTTCAGAGGGTTCCATAAATAAGAATAATGGGATTTAGTTTGAAAAATGCCAGAGTGGAGGAATTTGAGAGAGTGCACGTGTGTGGCATGATCTCCCATCTGCTTTGTGGGATAATAATGTGCTGCGTTATGGCCTTTTTCTCTTTACTTCACACCGAGCCAGCACAGCTGTCAGTGAGAGAATCAGAAAGAGGAGAAGGGAGAAAACCAACCAACAAACTGCTGTAGGCCTATTGGAAGAGGACTGTGCAGACAAATCCTTTCATAGAGTGCATTAAGTTCAACTCGCCGTTGAATTTCTGAGATATCATGGAGAGGCATATTCCGGGCAGGAAAAGGCAGGGAATTTTATAAAATACATCAGGCAAGACAGGGTTTGAAAGAATAATGTTACACATTAGTCACCGCATACACATTTAAAGTATTTTTTTCACTCCAGACTTCAGTAATCCATGTGAATAATTTCACACATTCATTTCACAATACTGTGGTTTTCACTCAGTTGTTTTTCCCAACAGCATTTGTAGCCTACGGCTTACAGTTTACCCCATCTGTTCTGACCTCAAAAACAACATTGGCAAAACAGGAGGGTGTAACAATTTTAGGTTATGATTAAACACCGAGAAAGAGCCACAGAAAATTCAAGGAATTTTCCGTCAAAGGCATGGTGGGAACTAAAGATTAACCGATGAGATGCACTCACAAATGCTGTCTCCCTATACATTTGTTCGCACAAAAATACAAACACATACATGCTGACACACTCACATGCACGCAGACCCACCACCTCTTTCCTGTGGGAAGTCGTCCAGGTGCAAACTCAGAGCCTGACACAAGGGTTCAAAGGTCAGAAAGTTTGTTTTCCCAGGTTTACCCCTTATTATTTATTCATGAAACAAAGAGGAAGGGATGGAGAGACTCGGAGAAGCAGAGACACAGGGAGGAATCCCCCAGCACGAGGCCTTTGATGTGGAAAACAAAATCTCCTTTTTAATCTGCCCTCTAATGGAATACACATGACACATCCTGAGCTCGTACACACTCACTGCCAGTTCTCCTCCTTTCTGTCTTTCTCTGTGTGTTTACTTGTTTGTGTTTGCATGTGTTGTGCACAACACATGGTTTTTTGTGATGTCCACATGTGTTTGGGAAAGGAGGAGAATGAGATAACATGCAACAGATGAAACTCGAGGGGGGGGGGGAGACAAAGAAAATATTAGTAATCGCTCCATGCTGTTGCCCAATTGCTCTCCCTGAGAAGTAATCATACCTTGCAGTGCCCGAGGCAGCCCAGCTGTCCACATGCATTTTATACAAAGGCTAACCTTGCATAGTCAGTTTCCTCATCGCTTTGCTGAAACTGGTCGGGGGAGAAAAAAAGACAGAGTTCATTCTCAAAACAAAAACATCAGGTGGTTTCACTCAGTAGCCAGTTGCATTTGGGCAAGCAGCCCTGCAATATGACTGTTTTAAAACAAAAATGTCTTTTACTTTAAATTTTACAAACATATTCGCTTTATTCTTTATTCTCTCTTGATTCTGTGCAATTAACTTTGTTTTCAAATAAATAAGTGTAGCTTAATCTGCAAAGCTGTGTAATCCCTTGGTCAATATTCAAAGCAGTACATTTTCCAAATACTGTAATTTTGAGAGGTAATTTGGACAAGTAATTGAATTATTAAATTTCACAATATATATGTCATGTACGGCAAAAGATTTACATCATGCATAGCAAAATAAATGCGCTTTATTCCATATGTTGCCAGTTAAATCCATTATTTTATTATTTGTGAATTTTTTTTCACTGTTGCAAAGTGTGATTCATTTGATATGTGTAAACTCGACTGTCATTGTGAGATGACTCAGTAATCCATTGAATTTTAGAGACATAGTCCTCTCAAGCTGTGGTCTCAGTCATTGAATTGTTGAGCGTTGCCATTATGCCATACATTGTCCTACTAAGGTACAATTTATTACAGTGCTGTTAGCATTACATTGTACAGGTCCACATAATAAACTAGCAACTATCTGTGTAGCAGGGCTACCACACTACCAGACCATATTAGTTTCATTGCACGCTCAATCTTTTATTATAGTGCATAGTTTTTAAGAGGGGTGGACAACTAATTATTTAATATTTAGATTATTGCTACTTCCAGCGGTCTCTTCTACAAGGAGAAAGCTGCCGTTCTCCAGCAGCCTGTACACACCAGCTATGTGTATTACTAAGTTGTGATTTATGCATTACTAATATAAAAGCATCACAGTTACAACATAACTCTAAGTAACAAATAAATAGTTACATATGCCCCAGGGTCAGTGAAAATCACAAAATGTCACAGAATTATACTCTATTTCAGCCCCACAGCATAATTTTTCCTTAATTGCACATCATTAATTTATTGATATGATATTTCAATATCAATCTAGCTTAACGCCATGGACTACGATGCCAAGTGGGTCATGCCAGTCAGAAAGCTAATGCGTGTAGTCACCATTACGATGGAACTCTGTCTGATCGTTGATTGACCACTTGCCTTAGTTATGACTTTTCGTCAATACTGAGTCATGCCACAAGTAATCGTGATGCAACCAATTTTAGTAGGTTTAGTAGATTTATTTACAAACTAACAAGTAAATAAGCCTCTAGTGTCGACTTTACGCCCTAACTTAGGAGAGAACTCGCACACAGCTGGTGCAACCCAGTGCAGGAATACAATCTCAAGCAGCATCACACGCCTAAACATGGCAGTATGCTGTGTAGGAAGGAAAGGAGAGGAAACAGGAGAGTTGCTCCGCTTCAGAGTGTATACAGTTACAATTTAAAGTTTTTTTTTGTTTTTTTGGGGGGGTTCAAGAGGCCTGTGAACTCAATGTAATTTGAGCTTGAGACCCCCGGTATATAGCCTAAGAAATGTGTACATGTTAGTGCTTCAATACAAAAATGTTATCAAGTAAACGAATGCGTTGACATGTGCATGTGATAGGAGAATATGTGCTGATATGAGCTGATTTCCTGTACTTCAACATGATGGTATGTAGACAAAATGAGTAAAGTTTGTAGCGTGATCGAATGTGAGCGCTGCAGCGTATCCTCTTGCCTCCCTCTTGTCCCGTCCCAGTTCTTGGGAAACAAGTAGCATGACATCACTGGGGAGAAAAAGCAACACAAAAATAGCTTGGACGGCCCGGTTCCCAGCCACAGGCCTGGACCCCAGACCAAGGTTCACAATGTGTTTTCAATGAGTCTGATATGTCCGCTAACTACAATATTCTCTCTCTCTCTTTGTCTCCCTCCCTCTTTCTCCCCTATTCTCGCTCTTTCATCATCCTCCTCTATCGACAACCCTCTCTTTCTCTCTTTCTCCCAGACTCTGTGGTCATGGAGGCAAGGTCACACGCTCTACTCTTGGCAAGCTGCAGTGTGCGGAGCTTTTGCAGGTGCAGGGGATTATTTGCTGCTTTGGGAAAGAGGCGGAGAGAGAGGGGTGGAAGACGGATGGGAGGGATGGATGGCTAGATCAATGGATAGATGGATGGATGGGTGAATAGATGGCCAGGAGGGCAGGACAGGTTTAGCCAAAGCCACATTCTTGTAAGATTCCACAAAGGTGAGCTCAGCTGGGCAAATCACATCCTCACCTGCACAGCCGAGCAGAGAAGAAAAGAAAGCGGAGTAAAGAAGAATGGATGGAGGGACATGAGAACAGGCAATTCCAGCCTTTTTGTAAACATTGCTTTCATACAGCGTTAAATTAGCAATCCTCAATACAGCATTGTTGCCTTAAAAAAACTATCACAGTTGTCAAGCCCTTCAGCCAATGAAAATAACACCATGGCAGACGTCTATGGTTCTGTCTTTGCCGGGATGAGTATCGGGGGAGAGACAGACAACCAAGGGAGGACAGAGCAGGGAAGAGAGGAGCTGGTTCCTGGTTATGGGCCCCTGCAGCTGTGCGACCTCCTGAGCACTGGGGCCTGAAGTGTTTTTTTGAGAGAGGGAGAGAGAAAGGCGCAGGAAAGGAGTGGAAGAGGGGAAGGGGAGTGGACTAAAAACGAGACAAATGGGGGAAAGGAAAAGACAGCAACTTGAGAGAATTCAATTCGACCATGAAACGCGAGAGATAAATAATCCATGTGTCTTTAGTTCTTTTCATATTCAAGTGGGAATCAATATTCACTATTTTATTATTTGTAATCCGATTTTTTTATGCTCCGATCAAAAATAGGAAATGAAAAAACGAGCCACACACCGAATTTGATTTTGATATGTCCGATTTTCTGAACATTTTTTATTTTTAAACCCTCTGCATACACATGGTTAAACCCACACAGGTGTTTTCACTGAATATTCTTGATTAGACCTCTTTACAGAACTGTGGAGGTGTGTACAGACTGCTCTTGATTGTTGTTGTGAGTTTAGTTGCATCTGTAAGACAAGTTACAGCTGCTGCGTTCCAAATCGCATACTTTTTCTTTAGTACTGCAGCAGAGGATTGTGTCTGGCCAGAAAAGCATGCTAGCGTGCATACAGCATTTGACATACACTGCTCAAAAAATTAAGGGAACACTTAATCATCACAGTAGAACATCATGTCAATTAAACTTCAGGGATGTCAATCTGTACCGTTGGAAAGAATAAACGATTGTGAATCAATGTCACTTGTTTTGGTACAAAGGAAAGTGACAACCGGTGCACTGGAGAGGCAACAGCAAAATGGTTTTGCAGGTGATGGCCGGAGATAATTGCTCAGAAGGAGCACTGCAGAGCACTACACAATGACCTCCAGCGGGCTACTGGTGTGCATGTTTCTGACCACACTGTCAGAACAGTCTCCATGAGGGTGGCATGAGGGCCCAAAGTCCTCTAATGGGATCTGTGCTCACTGCCCAACCCATGAGAACATGCGACAGACGTGAAAGAGTCAGGAGACGCCATGGTGAACTTCATGCTGTCTGCACCATCATCCAGCAAAACTGGTTTGGTGGTGGGTCAGTGATGTTCTGGGGAGGCATATCCTTGGAGGGCCGCATAGTCATCAGTATCCTGACTGCTGTTAGGTACCGGGATGAAATCCTCAGAGCCACTGTCAAACCTGACACTGGTGCAGTGGGCCCTGGGTTCCTCCTGGTGCAGGACAATGGCCTCATGTGGCCAGAGAGTGTAGGCAGTTCCTGGATGATGAAGGTATAGATGTCACTGACCGGCCCTCACGTTCCCCAGACCTGAATCCAATTGAAAACCTCTGGGATGTTTATCGGTGCTTCCGAGGCTGCCAAGTAGCGGCACAGACTGTCCAGGAGCTCACAGATGCCCTAATCCAGGTCTGGGAGAAGATCCCCCGGGACACCATCTGCCGTCTCATCAGGAGCATGCCCAGACGTTTTTGAGATTGCATACACACTACTGAATCATATTTTGAATCTGCGTGTTCTTTACTTTCTTTACTTTGATTTTTGGTATGATTTTGAATCCAGCCCTCGAACAGTGGATGATTTTGGTTCCCATTAACAGTTTTTGAACTTCCGACTACGTTACTTTGAGCAGTGTACTACGTATGGGGACATACTAAATCTTTTTCTGGCAGTATGGTCATTGGAACTCACTAAGCATCTCATACACCAATAATTACGTATTTCTGAACATAGCTCCTTGCAACTTCAAGCAAAAGTCCAATCAGCTACAATAAGTGAAAACACCTTAGGGATGCATTTAATTCACTTGTTTTTGTTGTTTACCTCTTTTTAGCTAGTTTTATTGTATATTTTATACTAATGATGCTTTATAACTTTTTATATATATATGAAACTGCATGGATGCTGAATGTTTACCTGCATAAAGTTGATACAAAGGCGTTGGTGGGGGGAAAAAAGACACTAAATGGTCAGACACTGACACAAAGGCATGGCTTTGATATAAGAGAGAGGGCAAAGAGCTGATTTGAAACAAAAAACACTTTTGTTTAGTGAACTGAAAAGACAACTCAAAACACAGTTTGCCTTGTGGTATACAGTATCAGTCCAGGGTCATGTAGTGACAGCATGTACCTCGAGTATTGTGGCCCTGAATAAAAAATGCACCATCTATCTTTCTACTCAGTCTTCACCTTTTTTTTGCGATGAAAAAGCAGAACCACAATCAAACTATATATTTCAGAGGAACAGTTCCCCAGACCGCTCCGTAGTGCAGTTGTTGGATGTTTATAACTTTCACTCCATAACTCTTGTGACACTACAACATCCAGGCAGGACAGGAAGATTGAGGTTGGCAGCTCTAGGGGCGATGGAGAGATGGAGGTGAAGGAGAGTAGAGGGGATGAGGAAATGGCACCCTAAGGAGCTGAGACGTGGCCCCGCGCCACACCGCCTGGACTTGGTCCATGCTGGGAAGAAGAGGAGAAAGGAATCAGAATAGAATAAGAGAACAGGAGATGTGGATGGGTGGGTGTCAGACTGAGACATGCAGAGGAACAAAGAACATAAAAGACAGTTGAAAAGAGTCCTGAATACATGACAAAGTTAGAAATACCCTCTCACATTAGATTGGCTGACCCTTTTTTTTCAAAGGTAGTGAATATTAAACTCTTAATGATGATATCATAACTGTAAATAAATGTAGACATAAACACGTGTAGTAGTTTTAACCTTAAAGCAATCAGACAGCCAAAATTGTTAATTGGGATGTACTGTATAGGAAAAAGGATCGAAAAGTATGAAATTGTAGGGTGGCAATCTAAGCCAAAAAGGAGGGAAGGAAAAAGGGGCAAGATGATGAGGTAGTGTTTGAGGGGGGGTGGGGGCACGGGTCCAGGGTAGGAATCAAGTTTGCGTCCCTCTGCGACCGAGCTGCTGTCCAAGAGGGATCCTCGAGTTTCAGTCACTTCCCCTTACATCGCGCTTCACACTCTCTCTTTCACTCATACATAATCTGCTTGACACTGGAAATGATCAGACAGGCACGTTTAATCATCCCAAATATCTCCACTAGCGCCCTGCGTTGACTTACGACGGACGTGACCCCGTTTGGACCGCCTGCCTAGAACCCCCCCCTCCCAAACTGCCTACAATGAGACAAAATTACATCACTGTCTGATTTGGTTCTAACCTTCATCACATGACAAGGTTCTTCCAGCCAGATTTAGATCTTCCAATTCAGCGATCCGTGTGTAAGATTTATTAATGCATCCTTTTTCTCCTATCCAAGAATATTAAAAAATAGGCTACAGTAAGAGGGCTGTATCTTGTTATCCTTGCTGAAGTTGTATCCACCCAAGTCGGGGGGGAAATTATTAAAATCCACTCTTATAATCAGCCAGCATTAACTAGTAAAACATAACAGTGTGTTACACCACACTGATCCTAATGTTTTCCTGTATCCTCAGTCACGTTGCTACTCGGTGGCCAATATTCATATGTTTATGGAGAACAGTTGCTATGCCTGTGGCAGAGTTACACACACACACACACACACACACACACACACACACACACACACACACACACACACACACACACACACACACAATCTCTCTCTCTCTCTCTCTCTCTCTCTGTTTCTCACTTAGACACACACACTGCGGCTCAGCGGGGACACCTCTGGACCGCGCCACCCACACAGCTTCCAACTTGGAGGGAAGTTGGGGTGTAACTGCTCTATAAAACTTTGAATGTATCCAAATGTGTGTCTTGTTTCAAGCTTGTGCGTACAACTAGGTGTGTGTGTGTGTCTGTGCTTGTGTGTATTGGAAACCGGAGTGAGTGTGTGTGGAAGGTGTGGTATGGAAGAGGATGGGGGGGGGAGTGGTGGGAGTAGAAGTGTGTCTGTCTGGTTTTGTGGTCTAATAACAGCAATATTATCACTTTTATGAACTTAATGGAGTGGAGGGCCAAGACTTCTACTGTTTATTGCTGAATTAATACGTTACTTTATCTGTGGTTAAATAATTTGACTTTTTTATTGGTTTGTGTGTAATATTTAAAGACTGCTCTGTTTGCACTTTGCTAAATGTGTGTATGTATCCTTTATAGGTGCAGTAGCGGCATTTGTTACCACTCCTCTTGACGTGGCAAAGACCAGGATCATGCTCGCAAAGGTACACACACACACACACACACACCCTCCTCTGGCTGCAACTTTTAAACACTGCTGTCGGTTGATGGCTCGCAGACAGAGAGCTGAGCGGGCCTGCAGCCTGAGTAAATTTCAACAGTGTCAGCGCACAGGACAGAGCGGACTGAGGTAGCACCGGGTCTGTAGTGAGACATACACACACATCTATCATCCGATCTGGACTATGGACAGTGTCGTGAAGACGTGTTTGTGTGCATGGTTAGTGTTAGAGTGAGGTCTTGTTGCCGCTCCAGAGGAATTTCCATCTCAAGGCTGCTTGTCACTGAGAGGTGAACCAGAAGGTGTCCTGCCTGTTAACTCTTCTACTCTGTGCGTCCTCTCTAACAGTCCCCCTCTCTCTCGCTCTGTAGCGGTGTAGCTTGCTCTAACTGTATACCTGGCTTCCCTCACTATGTCCTATGTGTGTGTGGAAAGGGTAGTGAGTTCAGAGTCCCCCCCCCACACACACACACACAATCACACACACATACACGGACTGTCCTTGGAAAAGACACAGTGTTCCTCCTCCACACCCACCCTCCCTCCCTGGTCCTAACTAATAAGATACTGGAATTAAGAAAACACTCAGACAGTCTTGATCTCTTGCGAGAAGCCGTTGGCTGTAGGTGGAACAGAACGGTACAAAAGCTTCCTGTAAACATTATTTGAAATGCAGCAGCTGTAATTTACCACCAGCAGAGGATTTGGCCTGCGCTGCCTCAAGTTCGGTTATAACTTTATATGGCCAAGTTTTTCATTCACTTAAAGCACCACCAGGTAAGCTGGAAAAAAAAACTGCGAAGAAGCTTAACAGCCTCTACTTATTACGTTATCAGCTGATAACACCCATGTTTAATGAATATGTTTTTTATCTCCAAAAAGATTGTAAACCGCTCTCTTCTAACTGGGAATGTCCCACCTTGGCTGAAACATGCTGTGGTTCAACCTCTTCTAGAAAATAAAGAAGGGCCTTTAACCACTAACACCAAATCACTTTAGACCTATTTCAAACGAACACTTGAAGCAGCACGGAAACATGAAGGAGTGCTTTGTCAAGCCGGCAGCGGCTGCACCGCATATCCTGTTTTACTTTTTGTCCCCACACAAAATAAATCAGCAAGGCCGTCACTTTGTGTTGAAAAGTAGTGGGGACATAAAGGCTCAGATTAGGGGTGTGAGTGACAATACACTTAGGTCACGTGATGCGAAGATGCCCAATATTGGGTTCGCAAGAATTGAGAACACGAGTTGGGGGTCATATATTTTCAGCACTCCAACACTTACTTTGGAGAAATATTTTGCACAAATTTATAGTATGTTTTTTTATTTATAGTTTATTTATTTGAAGGGAAACACAAAATTCAGGTGGCAGGTGACAAATCAAAATATAAAAATGTAATAAAATTCAGTAATCAGTAGCTTGTTTTTTTTAGCTTGAAGGTTCAGTGTGTAAGATTTAGTGGCATCTAGTGGTGAGGTTGCAAATTGCAACCATCTGTCCAGAACTTAGGACAGCTACAGTGGCTGACAAAAGGTGTCTGTTCTGAAACAGCAAAGAGTAGCCAGTCAAGAAATTAGGTTTCTTTAGGTATATTTATTAAGAAAATATATTTGTTTACTTAATTATTCAGTAAAACCCTATGTTACTGCGACTTGGCCACTGACCGATAACTTGGAAAGCCAAGAGTGTGAAACACTGTCACTGTTTCTGCATCACAGTCCATTATAAACCACACATTAAATAAAGTTTATACAAAAATTGACAAGGGAAACACATTAATTCTCTCTGTGATTATGGACCCTTGCCAAAACTGCCCGACAACAATAATATCTGGCCCGCTGCCAGATTATGGTGCTTTGATAGCGGCAAAAAATATAAATAAATAAATACTTTGATAGAGGTGCTGAAACAGATCTCAGTCATGGCAGCAGTTACTCACTTAATCACTTCCTCTTTAGTGGTTTTGCTTTGTTTACTGTAATGCTGTAGTTGGAGTTGAACTGAGCTTTTACTTTTTGAATTTTCTGAACGACATTAAGCCTGCTTGACACACCTCTGAAAGATCCATCAGAAAACATGATTCCCCTAAATGTCCCCTGCCTGGAGATACTGGAGAAATTAAAAAGCGTCTGTAGGTTGATGGATGTGGATCAAACACTGCAGCACATGTTTTGTTGTTAACCATCAGAAACAGTTGCTGCAGAATCAATTTGTTGAAGAGAGAAAAAAACATTTGTCTTGAACACTCAGTCTTCAATGTGAGAGTCCTGCGCCTTACTGACTGAGCTAAACGAACAACGTGTTGATGCATGTCAATATTATGTCTTATATTCCCACCCACATCTAATGGTTGAAAATATTGCTCCAATGCAAAACTTACTTGTAGACCCCTGCTGTATATTAGTACTTCTTCTACTTAGAATGTACGTATTCAACGTAATGATGAGTGTCTGCACTGCCTGAATTCTACCAGAAGTAGAACAAGAAGAACGTAGTGACGAAACACACTCTGTAGCACTTTTAGTCTGATTTCAGCTACTGTAGAAACATGGCGACGCAACATGGCGGTTAATTTCCGCTTAAAACAGACCCACACAATGCTGAAATAGAACCAAAGACACTATCATAAAATACAGGCTTCATTATCATGTCTAATTCCTAATTCTTATAATTTTAAGTTTTAAATTACTAATTTTTCTTTTCCTTTTTCTTTCCTCTTGCTCATGTTGACTGTGAATGCAATGTAATCTGGGTTCAATAAAGCAGGAGTCAGACACTTTTGGGAAATTAGGAATTTTTGGTTCTCTTTAAATAATATTAAACAGAGTACGTTCTAGGCCTGCTCTATATAAAAAGTGCAATGAGATGACTTTTGTTATTAATTGGTGCTGTAGAAATGAAACTGAATACATTTAAAATAACAAACCTGGATTTTAACATTTAGGCCTACCTAGTCAGGCAGAACTTCTGAAATCCAGAGCGAAAACAAATGCCATGCCTATCATAAAAAAAGGTTTCAGAAAAAGAGTCACAACAGACTTGAAGTAAAATAATAAACTCTATATTGATGTTAAAATGTGTATCTACAATAACTAATCCACAATTTCACTGCTCATGCCTAAGCACCAGTGTTAGCTGACAATTACATAAAATATGAAATGACATGGCATGGTCCATTTTAGGGGTGTCTAAAATTGTATTTCAAGATTTTTGAATATAAGGCATGAGTATGGGAAATATATTGTAATATTTACAATTACAGGTAAGAAAGACCCCCCTGAACTATTCCTTTGACCACGTTACTTTTTTTTAGACAATGCACATTTGTTTCTTCTATATTAACATTGCTTTGCGTGTTTTCTTTTTGTGCAAATAAACCTTAAAGCATCTTCATTTGTTAGTTAACATTTCTTGTTGCAAGCCTTTTTTGAGAACAACAAAACTGGTAGGGACAAAATCAGCCATTGGTGGGGACAAGTTCCCAACATCCCCAGTGTAAATGACACCTAAGTATATCAGGTTGATCAACAAGAGGAACATGTTCACGTCAGTAATAGTCACTTAAAATTGATTTTTTTAAAAATGTTTCTTAATTGCCACAATGTTAAAAGTAAATTCTGCACCGCTCCTGTCAGTGTAACCTAACGTACACCATGCATCATCCATTGTTCGGACATCTGCTAATTTATTTAGCTGTAAAGCACTTTGGCACAAACCTGGTGTGTTTTTAAAGCACTTTATAATCTGACCTTGACCCTAAAAAGTAACATGTCATTTTAAAAAAAAACTTGTCAGACTTAAGTTTGGTTTAGTTGTGCAAACTCCCATGGCAGCAAAGGATGACAAGTCCAGGCAGGAGAGTGAAACAGAAACTGAGAGAGAGCAGGGCCGCTGTTGATGGGTATGGACGGTTTGGATCGGACGAAGGGGAGGAAGTGCGGGTGTTGAAACTTGTCACATTAGTTTCCGTCCCACGGCAGCAGAGGAGAAGGTTGTTTCTTTTCTGCGGCAGGCAGAATGAAAGAGTGGTGTGTTACAGCAGGCAGCCTGGTGCAGACTAGACCGAAGCGGGCGGTCGTTCAGGACACAGCTGAACGTGTAAAGCCCCTCCAGGGCAGGACTCCTGCCATGCCGCCCTGGCTGCGGCACTGGCAACAAGCCTGGCACACCGCGCTGCTGTGCGCCGCCTACGCTGCTACTGTACAACGCTGCTCTTCTTCTCAGGCTGATGATGTTTGCTACCCTCCACTGGTACCAAATGTGGCAAACACAGGAGTCAATGTCAGGCTGATAGAGAACATGGAGACATGAAGCTAATTCTGTAGTACTCGCACAAAACTCAGATAACAAAGCAGCACGCCAAAATAAGCCAGAGAAACGTATAGAATGAGCTACATGAAGATATTTTTGTATGTCAGCACAAGTTACACAGGGACTGTGTGTGTGTGTGTGTGTGTGTGTGTGTGTGTGTGTGTGTGTGTGTGTGTTTTGGACACCCTTCTTCATTCCCTCCTTCCACCATTCCACAGTGGAAAGGAAAAGAAAACTTGTCAGACGAGGAGAGAGGAAAGTCATTGCTCAGCCACCTGTCTCCAACAGAAACATAAGGAATAGGCCCCACCACCACCACCACATGAATAAAATGAGGGAATCTTCCTCTCCTTCCAGGAGATCTTGGAGTCACAATTTACAGCGGACACCACAAAATGTTTCCTACATGCTCAGTGAGCTGTAGTGTGCATTGCCGTGCACACACCTACACACATACTCCTCCTGCCAGTACTCCCTCCTCGCTTCTCTGCACTGCCTCTTTCTGTTTCTGTCTCCTCCGGGGTGCCACCACCCACCCTCACTTAACCCTGAATGGTCCCACCCATGCAGGTCTCATACCCCTCGCGCAGCTCCACAGTGATGGATTAAAAACTCTCTGGCCAGCTAAGCTGTATTGTGTAAATAAAAGTTCTAGACTGATGGGTGTGGAGGAGAACTTGTTGAGTGTGTTTTTGGGTGGGCAAATGGCTGGGCGGGTTATGGAGGTGTCACCTTCGCTGACACAGCTGTCCATGAGGAGAAAGGAATGAAAGGGAGGGAAGGAGGGGGAGTCGGAGGAAGCGCAGTTGAGGAAGACTAAACACAGTGTCTGTTGGAGGACCGGGAAGTGAAAGAGACGATCCATCCGTCATCACACCTGTATTCTCTCTCTCTCTCTCTCTCTCTCTCTCTAGGCCGGGTCGACCACTGCGAGCGGCAACATCCCACTGGTGCTCTACGACGTGTGGAAGAGCCGAGGCATTACAGGGTGAGCACGTGTCATCGTGATGGTTTCAAACCAAACAGCCTCTTCACACAAATCGTTTTATGGCAGCCCATTTAAAAACCTCTTATTTTACATGATTTAATTTAACTCAGGCCCGATCCCTCGCGTAATCAAGTTTGATGATAGAGTCGCTACTCTGGGGGACGAGAATTTACAGCCGCAGCTGAAAAATGAGATGCATAAAAGCTTTTTCCTGCTGACTTGCTGTGCTGTCCTATTGATTAAGGTGTTACAGGGGCCAAGAGGAAGGGTTTATTTGAGTGTTTTGATGTGTTCATAATGCGCACTGGACAAAAGGCCAGGTCTAATGGGGCCTCAGAGGGCTGCCAGCACTAAAACAAACCCTCAGCCGCTGTGAATAATAGGCCTGCTTGTATACAAGCTGCCATCATTTAGTTAGGATGCACCTCGGCTTAATGCTCATGGCAGATTTGGTTTGGGACTGGGCCAACCACCAGTGGGACATCTCCCTCCCTCCCTCTGTCTCACAAACACACACTCACAAACCAAACTGTTGTTTGTGTATGTAGGCTGCAGTGCTGGAATCTAATCGGAGAGAAATTACATTTCAGCTTTGTGTTTAATATGAGCCAGGGGTAATTCCCTACATGCTGCTTTCAAACATTAGCAATAACCCAGCCTTCAATTTCAATAAAGATCATGTTTGAGACTACTGCACCATCTCAATGAGGTGATAGTTGGCGGGCCCCTGTGGAAAAGCATAAATCCCACTCTCCCAGCTGCAACAGTAACCAAGTGGTAATGTACAGGGGAGCTCTTTGAAGCCAGACCCCCACCTCTGCACCACACGGCAACCTTTTGATGTTTTTCCTCTCTTTCTCTCCTCCACTATCTTACCTCCAACTATCTTCTGGGGCAAGCTGGAGAACTCACTCATATTGTGCAGCCCAGAGAAGATTAACCACAAGCTCTGCAACATGATTAACTCCTGACAAATCATGTTCTCCCCTGATATGGATGTGACTAGGAAAGGTGCAGAATGAGAAGAAAGAGAGTAACTATGAGAAAGAGACGAGAGAATGCAATGTAGAAACAAAGGAGAGTGTGTAGCAAGGAAAAGGGGGGCCGTCTGCTCTGCAGTGCCAAAGGCCTGGTGGTTGCGCTGGTGCATGCCTGATACAAATTGCTGGGGCTTTAAAGCTGTAATTATGGTAATAGGCCCAATTGCAGTGTAGTGAAGCTCTAAAGTGCTTCCATGTGTGTGCCATGCCCCAGAGACCCCGGGTTAGCAGAGACCGGTAGAGCTCACACCGGCCTCCCCAGTAACCTGCAAAACAACAAAACTGCACCAGAAGTCATGTCAAAACAAAGACTAATAATCCTCCAGGCGGTGTCTGCTCTGTTCCTTATGTAAACCAGAATGAAAGAAAAGTTAACAAATGACAAGTTTGTACCACATACACACAACAAAGCAGAGGCTCTGGAAGTCTGTGGTAAGCTGTTATTGTCCTTTTTATGACATAAGGAGTCGTTGTTCCTCACAGTAAGAAATACAGTAAAAACCCAATTCAAATCAAATACATGACACTTTATATACATGTGATTTTAGGTGTAGAGTCATGTGGTGTAGTAGGTGTCTGTAATGGACTTTCTCCTGCCAGTCGGTCTGCATGAGATCCAGATGGTCTCCCAGTGGAGTATTTCTGCTTTAAAAAGCATTTCTGGGGGGATTTAAACCATTCATATCCTTTCACCACACATACCTATTCATCCTCATGGGAGCAAGGAAACATCTCCTACAAACAATAGTAAAGAGTAAATATGAATTTACAAATAGATGCGGAGAACGTGATGGAATTGGACGTTAAATTACATTAATGCATGCTGTAGTTTCACTCTACTGTTGCTGGAGAAAAGCTACTATTCACTGGGGATCCCATCCCAGCCTACAGATTGCATACTAAAGAGGGAATTTATTCTAAACATTTGTTCAGTGGATTTGATGCTGCACAGTTAAAAGAAAAGTCAGGCCATGTTCTATATTTCTATTGTTGTCTAAAAATCTACAAATGATAAGATCAAAGCCAATAGTGAGTTAGCGCATGTCTTGTACTTCTCCATCCTGCCTGTGGCTCTCAGCCCCATGCCTCTTAGTTCCTACTCAAGAAAAAACTAATTTAAAAAGGCTAAATAATCTCCTAAAATAGCTCGGCACTGTAGTTTTCTGAAAATGTCACTCAAACAGGAGTAAATTAGCGCATTTGATGGGGACTGTTTTCAGCCATGGATTTGGTGCACTAATGACTATTTACAGCAGCAGGACGGTGTATGTGGGAATGAGTCAGAACAAGCCACAGTGCTCATTTTCATTGTAATAAAGGAACATGTCACCCAACGCAACGGTGTGGCACACTGTTGTGCTGGAGCTTAGTGGCACAGAGGAATAAACTATATAATGCTTTGTGTATTGATAGTATAGGATCAATTCATGGGTAGTTTTGTTATCAGACATATCCATGTGTGTGCCATGTGTGTGCCATGCCCCAGAGACCCCGGGTTAGCAGAGACCGGTAGAGCTCACACCGGCCTCCCCAGTAACCTGCAAAACAACAAAACTGCACCAGAAGTCATGTCAAAACAAAGACTAATAATCCTCCAGGCGGTGTCTGCTCTGTTCCTTATGTAAACCAGAATGAAAGAAAAGTTAACAAATGACAAGTTTGTACCACATACACACAACAAAGCAGAGGCTCTGGAAGTCTGTGGTAAGCTGTTATTGTCCTTTTTATGACATAAGGAGTCGTTGTTCCTCACAGTAAGAAATACAGTAAAAACCCAATTCAAATCAAATACATGACACTTTATATACATGTGATTTTAGGTGTAGAGTCATGTGGTGTAGTAGGTGTCTGTAATGGACTTTCTCCTGCCAGTCGGTCTGCATGAGATCCAGATGGTCTCCCAGTGGAGTATTTCTGCTTTAAAAAGCATTTCTGGGGGGATTTAAACCATTCATATCCTTTCACCACACATACCTATTCATCCTCATGGGAGCAAGGAAACATCTCCTACAAACAATAGTAAAGAGTAAATATGAATTTACAAATAGATGCGGAGAACGTGATGGAATTGGACGTTAAATTACATTAATGCATGCTGTAGTTTCACTCTACTGTTGCTGGAGAAAAGCTACTATTCACTGGGGATCCCATCCCAGCCTACAGATTGCATACTAAAGAGGGAATTTATTCTAAACATTTGTTCAGTGGATTTGATGCTGCACAGTTAAAAGAAAAGTCAGGCCATGTTCTATATTTCTATTGTTGTCTAAAAATCTACAAATGATAAGATCAAAGCCAATAGTGAGTTAGCGCATGTCTTGTACTTCTCCATCCTGCCTGTGGCTCTCAGCCCCATGCCTCTTAGTTCCTACTCAAGAAAAAACTAATTTAAAAAGGCTAAATAATCTCCTAAAATAGCTCGGCACTGTAGTTTTCTGAAAATGTCACTCAAACAGGAGTAAATTAGCGCATTTGATGGGGACTGTTTTCAGCCATGGATTTGGTGCACTAATGACTATTTACAGCAGCAGGACGGTGTATGTGGGAATGAGTCAGAACAAGCCACAGTGCTCATTTTCATTGTAATAAAGGAACATGTCACCCAACGCAACGGTGTGGCACACTGTTGTGCTGGAGCTTAGTGGCACAGAGGAATAAACTATATAATGCTTTGTGTATTGATAGTATAGGATCAATTCATGGGTAGTTTTGTTATCAGACATATCCGTTAAACAAAAGATACTGAAACACAGAGGAACAGGGATGTCTGCAGTTGAGAAAAGGAGTATTGTTGGCAAAGATGTGCCACCCTTTTCCCAAAAAAACAAACAAAAAAAGAAACCCTATGCCACAGACACAGTGTGTATCCTTCGCTGTGTGTGGGGGGGGGCTTGGGCGGACACATTTGGGTTTTGTGTTTTTAGGGAAAGTGCTATAACATCTGTGTTTTTGTTATCATTATCCACCTTTTGTCCCCGACATTCAAGTAGATCCACCCCCTACTGAAGGAATGTTTCAAACGTCAAACCGAACGTCACAGGTTAAAACTGAGCTATTTGTTTTGAATGCATCCTATGAAAAAGTCCCATAACTAATAAAGGCTACTTATTATTACCTCAGCAATGTTCCTGCTCCTACACAAGTGCCAGAAATTTGCTCCCACATTCATTTGAAGATTCCCACCTTTCTCCTCTTCAAGAGCACCCGCATTTTTTTAAACTGCAGCCAAGACATTTTCTTTGAGTTCACTGCTCATCTTCTGCACTCTCATGCCCTGCCTTGAAACTATATTTAGTCCGATTCCTCAGGAGAGGCGGTTGGCCCACAATAGGGGGATGACAGCGGCTGGCCAGGCCGTGATGTCAGAATGAGTCAGGGCAACCGAGGGGAATATTTGAGCTCTGGCTCTGCTTTGACGTCTCAAGAGTCCACAGGTGGGCCTGATCCCAGACAGGAAATGTAACAGTAGTCAAGAGCTGAGACAAAACAAGAGTGTTGAGATTAAAATGAGTTAATTCCCCACACTGCTGGCAATCAGGCCCATCACCAGGAGAAGACAGAGTGGAATATGTCAGGACTTGTTGTGTCTACTGTGTTGTTGTGTAGCTGCCCAGCTGCTCGGTGTAAGAGTTTGTGTTTCTTTGCTTTTCTCTCTTTCTTTCCTTGGATTTTAGCTTGGGATCATGTGTAATGTTCCTCTGTAAGTAATGCTAAGTACTTGCCTGAGGCTTATGTTTCATCAGATGGCGATAGAACGGCATGTTGAGGTGGAAAGAGCATTCTGAAGGGCAGGACAGCGACCTCTGACTAATGTATCCACGTTTATTTGGAGCATTCACACCAGTGCATGCTTACACAAACAGACTTGGAATTCTCTCTCTCTGGCACACATACTCTCTTTGTGTCTAACCCGTCACTGGCCGTCTCTTAAAAACACACCCGATCTGGGCCGGCCACATTCTGATACGTGGCGTATATGTGAATGGCTGGGAGATCCCTGGCATGCTTGGCACCTTGTATAGCTTTGTGCAAGCAGCGAGTTTGTTTGTGACCCAAATCTTCAGTTTCCAGTGAAAGAGTAGCTAAATGTAGGGCAGTTAAGAGAAATGAACTACAGCCCATGGACTGATTCTGGTAGTAGGAAAAAAAATAAAAAATTTTTACCCAAGGGATTTACCCACTATTTTTTTCCCTAGGATTTTTAACCATATCTCACACCAGATGATCATCATCACGATCTATTTTTCTGAGCACTTTATTTCACTTCTTGTCCATGTTGGCATAAAAGTTGACTTAAGAACCACTTACTAGCTTTTTTTTCCTGGAACAATGTCACCTTCTTTTTTGATATGCAGGAGGAAACTATGATCACAAAAGATCGCGGATCGTCATACGATTCCACAAAGTTGGGAGACTCGCAAATGACAAATTAAGAAAGAATGGTCTAAACTGAAAAGGCAGAGTCCGAGATATCCAGACTTTTAGCTCCTAGAAACCTACCACATTTCATAAAGTGCACCTCAGTTGAATTAGAGAGATGTGGTGTAGGAATAATCGGAAAAATACTTTCCCGACTGGGAAAATTCATGTGAACACCCCCTGGAGTCGGAACAACAACTTGGAAAGTCGTGGGGAAATTTTGGTACACGACTTGCCGAGTTGTTGGGTCATACACGTAGAAAAATGGTGGAAAAAGTTGGTTAATGGTTAGAAACCTTTGATTCATAGTGAAAAATCACGTATTGCAATGGCATTTTTTGCTCGTTTGTAAGAATGTATTAGATAATAACAATTAGTTTGCTGTCCATGTATAGTGACCCAAAATAAAAATAATAAAATAGAAGGTTATTCATTAGTAATATTTGTAGTACAATCAATATTTTAGTGGTCTCATGTAATGTAATAAATAGTACAGTACCAACTCTAGGACAAAAATCACTTCTTTATAGTACCGTCTTAAAAGGAAGACTTCACAGAATGCACATGTTTTTCAAATTTTACACGCAGCAGTAAAAAAGACTTATACATTTGTAGACTCCAAAACAGGGCCAAGGATAACCCTGATGATTTCATAAAAAAGACCCAACATGCTCACTTGTAATGAGGTCCATTTGGCTCTGGAAGTGCTTTTATCTAATGACACAACAAATAATAAGAGGCTGAAGAACTTGAAGTTGTTTCCTCCTTGTCCTTAGGCCCTCATTTGCAACGAAAACTCCAAAGCCAGACACCAACCCGCCCACAAATTACAAGATCTTGGAAACTTGTTTACAGAAGACATTCTGACATGTCACTGTTTCAAAAAAAAAAAGTACAAATAGTAAAATAATGATGCTTAATTCCAGTTGGCTGCTTCAGCTTCAGGGCCCTAGTATGCTGGCTCCGTCACACTTGTCATGGCTTACTGGGACACATGAATAGAACTGAGCCATCATTAATGTTAATAGTGCTTTCCCTCCTATGACAAGTCAAAATGTCTGCCGTGAAAAAGGCAAACATTTCGGAATCTCTGTGCAAGCACAGCTGATGGAAACTAAACGGGTTATATTTAATAAGCATTTTGAAAATTTAAAATGGACAGAAGTAGTAACACCCACAGCCACGCAGGTGATGAACGCAGACACCCATTTTGTGTGCATAGACACTTCTCCTCCCACACACACACACACACACACACACTCTCACAGGCACACGTCCACAAACGGACAAGTACTCTTCTATCCAGTACATCTGGATCTGATGGGGCCAGACCATGTGAGCGTGGGGGCTTATTGGCAGACAGAAGGTGTTGGTAGGCAAATTCACAGCGAGAGAGACAGAGAGAGAGAGATGGGAATAAAAAGGAGAAAGAGACACGCAAAGGCAGATGGAACAGACGGGACGCAGTGAGCATGTGTCTGAGAAGTGGATGACGCAGCAAGAAAAGGGAGACGGAGGAGAAATCCCCGAACAACTGAGCCAGCTGAAGGGGCCGTCGCTGGATGGAGAGGCCGAGAGAAATGGATGGATGGACAGCAGATGGACATGTGTGGATGTCATCTGGCCATCAGTCACGCACAGAGAGAGAGAGAAAAAGAAAGAGAGAGAAAGTAAGAAAAGAGGGGGGGGGGGGTGCTCCAGGGAGGCCCCAGGGTGGGGGCTTGAAGCCTAATCCCAAAAACAGCTGTGCGTAGCTGGGAGGGGGAGAGAAGGGGGCTGGTTCTTGGGAGATGGGTGCTCTCTCATGGCTCATCACATCGTCTGACCCCCGCAACGTCAGCAGCTTCTTCTTGGGCCTCAGTCGCTGTAACTCTTTTTTATTTATTGTAAAAAGTGGCTCCACGAACAAGGCCTCATGTTTGACCCGCTCCCATGGATCTCTGCACCCAAGCACGAGGGCCCTGCTTCCATGAATGCGCAGTAAATCACTCCCAGATACTGCTGATTGGTGGAGTGACACCTGATACAGCCTGAGCGGCCCTTCAGCTCTGCTCACGTGGAGATCTTCGTGGAGATAATTAAAGCTGCAGCAGGCAAACTTTTTTACAACACATTTTCCTTCATGTCTCAGTGGCTTTAGCTTAGTAGAGACAAACTAGTTCAAACCAGTCAGAAGCCACAAGGGGCTGGTGCTATCTTTTTTTTAAGCACAGTTATTCTGAAAATTCAAAGGTCTTTCAGTTAGAGACAAGTCAAATGTTATAAATACACCTATGAATGCAGTGTATGTAACAGTGAAACCGACAAAAGTAAATGTAAGATACTGATCCCACACTGGGACAATTCACCTGTCACAGCAACTCCAGATACAACGCAACAGATAAGAAAAAACACATTCAATGAAATATATAATAGAAAAAAAGATAAGAATAAGAGTTATCTGTACATTATATACACCTTTTATAAACAGATGTGATTTATACGAAACGTTGCACAGATCGCAGCAGGAGGTGAATTGATGCACAGTGTAGAAATAAAAAAAACAAATATAAAGGTAAATGTACACTCACATTTCATCTGCGTGAGTTGAATAAAACGGACTGGATTTGATAGAATTAGGATTGCATCTAGGGATGCACCGAATGTTCAGCCACCGAAATTAATCGGCAGAAAATAGCAAAAAAAAGCACTTTTGGTGTTCGGCCTAATAAGTCAAAAGACCAAAGAAATTTTACCAAACAATTATGTTGACATGTCGGCAGTGTAGAAGCATTTTAAAGTGTCCGACACACACATAATTATGTTATATATTATATATTGTGTATTATAATATGTGAAATGGGTCATGTGTTGCTAAATTTGCAAAGGCTCATTAGGAACAATGCAGATTAAATGAAAGTGTGCGGACTAGACTGCCATCGTGTTGTCATTGGTTGTAGTACAGGAAGGACATTTAAACGTTCAGTGTGTAATGTTAAGGAGGATCTATTGACAGAAATGGAATATAATATACATAACTATGTTTTCAGTGGTGTATACATAATGAACTATTGTGTTTTTATTACCTTAGAATGAGTCATTTCTATCTACAAACATGACAGGTCCTCTTACATAGATGTCGCCATGTTGCGCCGCCATGTTTCTACAGTAGCCCAAACTGTCAAACTGCTCTATAGAGAGCGTTTTGTAACTATGCTGAAGAAGTAGAAGTAGTAGTAGTAGTAGTCGTCTGGTTTATTAGAAGTAAGAAGAGAAGTGAAATTTGGACAATAGAGGAGCAAATGTATTATTTAGCCCAAGAGCCTACAGAGCATGTCGGCTACTTCTCCTGCGTGCTTGGAAAGGGAGGGTTGAGCGGTGACTGAATAAAGTGTACATGGGACAGCGTCCTTGTTAAGAGCTCGTGAACACACCAAAGTCAGAAGAACGACTTTACCACACAGGAGATGGGACCATCCGTGGAGCACATGAATGCACTGAGCCGTTGGTTGCAATTCACAACCCTCACCACTAGATGCTACTAAACTCCCTTAAATGCCAATTTGCTTGAAGTTGTATTCATAATAGTGATTTTAAAATGATTGGCACGTGTTGCTTTTTCTCTTCCTTCCCTGCAGTCTGTTTGCGGGCAGCGTACCGAGGGTGACTTTCATCAGTGTGGGCGGTTTCATCTTTCTGGGAGCCTACGAGAAGATCCGCCGCACGTTGCTATAGCAGCACGTCCTCAGTGACTGTCCTGAGCCCTGACCTGTTGGAGGAGCAGCGGGAGGGGGAGAAGGAGCACCCTCGTTCCCCCGGTGGCCCTCCATGCACCTCCACACTGCTGGCCCCCTCCTCAAGAAGCAAGATCCACCTGGTGCTTGGAGGAAGAGTCATCCGCGGGGCTGATCGCATTACCCAGTGTGCTGCATTCCTGCTCATCAGTGCCCTGCGGTAGTTGAGTTGAGCAGCCTGAGCTCACACTGTAACAGCACCAGCGGTTTGGTGAAATTAAGCCTCACACAGGACTAGCAATGCAGCATCTTTACTGTTTAATGTGTGTGTGACAGACTTATGGTATTAAAGACCGTTTCTTTTTATGCTTTGAGTGTTTGGTGAATCCTTAGGCTCCCCATACAGGTTCCTCTACATAGTTTTATGATCATTTTCAGTGTTTTATCAATATATTTTTTCTCTCTGCTAAGCCAGGCCACCTGTGATAAAGACCCACCTGGGAGAGCCGCAGTAATATCTCACTATTGTTACATTCCTGCTGGAGCACAACTGAGCTCATCCACCTGCAAGAGCTTTCATTTTATACTTAAGATGCCTACAACAATAGAACACTTTGTTAAATTCACAAGGCTTTAGTTTTATTGGGAGTCTCAGGAGTCTTGCATTAGTTTTTGCTTTAGTTTGGGTTTTTATCTATCTATGTGTTTATTGTGAAATGTTTTTATTAGGGGACTGGAAAAGGATATTTAGTGTTGCTAATCTTTTACAAAACCTCCCCATTCGTCCTACATGAAGTGAAATTAATTAAATGGGTGATTTACATAAGTTGACTTCATTTGTGTTTGGAGCTCTTGTCAAAAAGAGTCTGGAAGGAGTTATTCATTCATCTCAAATGTGTGAAAGTGCAGGCTTGTCCAAAGTTAGTTTGATAAAAAAACAGCCTTTTATTAATCGCACCGGTGGAGCATACGGTGTTAAATAATTAGCTGTAGTTTTGAGAGAACATTTGTTCATTCCTCTGTCCAATGAGGATACTTATAGCAAATGTTGATGAGATACAGATTGTTATCACAGTTGACTTTTCACTGCCGAGTGATATATATATATATATATATATATATATATATATATATATATATATCTAAATCTAATATCTACATCTAAATCTCGACAAGAAAGCGTATTTCCTGAACTGTACAAACAATCCTTTAAGAAATTAAAGAGGGAGATTGTATTATAGATTATAATACAATAAATTAAATGTACTTTTATCACAGAACAAATAGTATAAATTAAACTGGCTAGATTACTTCGTATTTGTTTACTTGGAATAGGCAAAATAAAAGCCGTGCACAAACCTAAAGCTGATGATAACACGGGGCAACTTTTTGAGCAATGTTGCTGGGCAAATCTGGCTATGTTTTGAACAGATAGGGGCGGGGCGGGTGGCGGAATGGTGGGGGAAGGGGATTACGGTAGTAATCTTTACTCATTATCATTGATGGCAACGTTGCCCTGCATGATTGCTCTAAAAGTTGCTCCGTGTATCATCAGCTTAAGGGTCCGTTCACCTAAATCACAAAAAAAAGCTATTTTTCCGACTTACAAGTGGTATGCAGATGGTTTTGATTTATTTGCCTAGTTGCTGCATGTCAAGATCAAGGGAAAAAATATGTTTTTGTTTTGTCTAAACTTACCATTTAATAAATATCAGTAGTTAAGACGATACAGCATGAGGTACAGATGTAATTGCAACTGGCCTTACACAGGAATTGATTCTGTGAGGGGAAAAAAGCTGATTAATAATTGTGACAGTGGGTTTGCTCACCACTTGTCCCTTACAGGTGACCATACACATTGCACCATGTTATTTTATACATAGCACTCATGTAAGTATTTTTATAATTTACCTTTGCTTGTGTAGCAGTGCACCACTTACTATCTGTTTGTGTTCGCATTATGTTACAGTTCACAGCTAAGCTTATGATGACTTAAATTAAAAACACAGTCATAGGTTAGTTTCAGTTACATTTTATTAGGTTACAGGTTTGGACATGGCTTAATTGTTTTCCTGTGTTAATACTTACCATTGTTTGTTCTATTGGCTACTCTACAAATTGTGTAAGTCTGTGGTGTAGCAAAGGCTGGAATTAAATGAATGCATTATGTACTTTATTAGATGATTTATTAGGGATTCATTGCAGTACTAACGGATGGTTTCCACGTTTCCAAAATAAGAGCACAGAGTTATCCAAGATAACTCATTACAAGAGTAACAAATCACTCCCCTACGTCGGTTTGAAGAAGGATGATTTCAACCACATATGTAAGAGCAGTTAGCTGTAGCTGTAGCTTCCCCTTGTATTGAGTGAATTGGCTCAGTGTTGTCCTTTGCAGTCACTGTGGAGGTAAAAGTGAAGTCTTGATAAATCCTGTCGGGGGGGCCGAAGGGAGACTGATGGTCCCACAGGTGGGAGTGTTTGTCATGCTGCTTGTCACTAGGCTGTTGGACAACAATGGTCGGCGTGTGATTGGTGGAGGCCACGGCTGGAGGCATGTCAATCACTCGGTGACAAACACCCATCTGGAATGCACATTCTGGTCAGCCACTGACCCCCAGTCAGCTCAGACTCAATAGAAAATATTTTAAACAGCCCGCAGAAGGAAAAAATATGCCTGCTGTCTTTGGAGCTTCAGGGAGCCAGGGCACATTCCTGGTTGGAAGATTAGCTTTGTGTGTGTGTGCGTGTGTGTGTGTGTGTGTGTGTGTGTGTGTGTGTGTGTTTGTGGTCCAGGCATAAGCTACTTCACCGCTTTGAAGATCAAGGTCTCTGGATCTCATGTCTTTCTGCATGCTCCATTTGAATTGATGGCTTCTCCACAACCACTGTGACGTGAGAGCGGCGCTAAACGCTAACTCAGCTGTTTGCGATTGTGTTTTCACTGAAACGTCCCTTCATTGTTCACGCAGGCGACAAAACAAGCGAAACACGTGCAATAATAGCAAAATGGGATTTTATTAGACACTTCAATGCCACGTTAGACACTTCACTGTTTCAGCTTTGACATGGGTACAACGGTTTGTTTCAATAAATTACTCCGAAACACAAACTGCGCCTCGCTCCCTCTTGTCCCTTTTACCAGCTGCACTGGGATTGGGTTTTCCAGAGATCTCTGATTGGTCTTGCTAGTAAAAAAAAAATCATCTCTGATAGGTGCTATCAGGTGTAACCAGAGGAGCGTGTCCTCCAGTTTACCTTGATAAGGCCACTGGTACCAGAACACAGCTCAGACGAGGGCACGCTGGCGAAACGCATGCATACATTAGACTATGAAAATACTTTGACTGATTTCTGAGCCAGTGTATCAGGGGATCACGACGGTTGACTGCATTAAACCTCCATGTTTGGTTAGAGCAAATTTCACAAGCCCCCCCGCCCCCGCTGTTCACAGCATGAACCTGCACCTTTTGAGTTACCTCTAAAAAAAAAACAACAACCTTATTCTAACTGTAGTGATGATGTACAAATGTCCTTGTTACACTGTGGTGATGTGACAGAGGCAGAATACTGGCCGTTTAAATGCACAACGGTGGATGTTGAGGCACATTACAGCAGTAACATGATGACACGACATCATTCTCCCTGATTCTCCGTCTTTCTTGAATTCATAGCATGAGAAAGGTATAATTAAGCATTCCACATTATGAATGTGACCAAGAACACACAACTAGCTTACAAAACAGCTGTTAGCCTACATTTGACCACATCTGGTTGCAAACTTGAGCCAAAAGTAATTTTCTTGGAGTACAGAAGAATATTTTCTCCCAAACTGGATCAGAGCAGCTTCGCAGTAACTTGTAGTATTGTGAAACAGGTGGAAGAGCCTTAATGGTACAGCACGTACTGTCGACTTTACCGCGTCGGAACAAGTGGAATGTCTCCTCACACAGGAGGTTTTCCCCGCATTCCTACTGGCAGGTACACAATCTTGCTTGTTTATGAAGTGAATATAAAAAAAGTGCTTTAACTGAGTGCCCCCACAAATATCCCAGCTTGAAAACATCTGACGTACCAAAAATAATTGACATCAAAGCTCTTCCTTCATACAATTACAATGAACGTGAGTTGTGTTTCTGTAAGGCCATGGTTGGCAGAGAAAAAAAAAACATTCAAGTGCAATCAAGTGTTTGTTTTGTTTGCTATAAAGAGTGTACCAGTATCTCTCACAAAAAGTTTCTGGGTATATGCTATTACAAGTTGAGTTTTCTTTGATCATGCAATAAGGCACCGCAGCTGAATGTTGGTAAAAGCTGAAAAGGGCTGTTTTTTGTTTTTTTTTTTGTTGAAGAAAAATAAAAATACCATCACTCCTTTCTTTGTCATGCACATAAATTCAAATACTCTTTTGTAAAAGTTATATAATATATAATATAAGAAAACTCTTATGTACAGTCAAATGTCCAAAAGGTATATTCCTCTTTTTTTCTCCCCACTTGCACATACACATACTGTACAAGATTCCCTACATTTACATGCTTCAAATGCAAGTCACATTTTTTTGGAGCTAGAACTTTTATTGGTCACCTCCCAAAGAAAGGTTTTTAACTATGTACAGCTGATACGCTCAGATGGGACGCCACCCACACAAGCTCCACCTTCAAACTCCGGATGCCCCCTGCCTTTTCCCCCTTCCTGGTGCTCCCTTTCAGTCCAGATCCAGGAGGCTCAGGATCAATCGCCTCGATATGAGGTAGCAGTTACTTTCCCAGTGCAAAAGAAAACAAAAAAAAACAAACATGTTTAGCCCACTCAGCTACTGCGAGTCCAACATTTTGGGCTGGATGGAGCGCCTGCTAGTCGCTGGCTCTCCTTAGGGGGGCGCTCTCATTCTGAGAGGCTCTGAGGGTGTGTCCGTTAGAGAGCAGAGTCTGCCTTAACTCAGGCTCACAGTCACTGTCGAGGCCTCCATGGCTCGTCACGGCGTCCAGCTTCACCGGCTTGTGGAAGGAGTCCTCCTGTGATGGAGAGAGCGCCGGTGCTTGACCCGCTCTGCTTGCTGGCGAACAAAAGGAGGGAAGTTTAAGTCAATGACAAATATGCATTCAGCTTTAGGATACAGAGGCGGTGGAATGTATGCACAGGGCTGCGTTGACATGCGGAGGTGAGAATTGGTATTTGGAGGCCAATACCACCGGTATCACTCCTCCCAAAAGAAGCTGGATCTCGGAACAGGCCCAGACGTGCAACAGCAGGGAGAAGTCAGTGCGTCTTTACAGTGTTTTCAGAGAGATATCCTGAGGGGCTCTGGGCGTGCAAATATGATACACTGTCAAATGCTGGTAGGAACCAATCCATCAACAACTACATTCAAAGGAATTTGCCTCGACAGGGGTTCCTAAACTGCTGATCGTTTCTCATGGTATCACCTGATTTTATTCCTCGAAAAACTGGGACAGTTTGGGGCTTTAAAAAGGAAAAGTGCTTTTGTCTAAAGGATAAGGCTGTTAGCATTTGTTAGCAGTCATAATGAAGGCTACAAACTTTCTTTCAAAACATTCAAAGTACATTTAAACTGCACTCTAATCCCCTTACCTTTTCTATCATGGAGGTTCAGTTGTAACGTGTCGTGGTTTTTTGGAAGCGTGGATCCCTGAATGTCCTTTCGCATCCCGTTGGGTGTTCCGTTGCACAGCGGGGTCGAGTGCTGCTCCCCTGGATAACAGTGAGAGTAGGGCGGGGGAGCGACGTGTTGCTGGTACTCCATGCCTCCAGTGGGTCCAAATCCGTGTCCCAGGTAGTCAGGATCTTTGGAGTAGCTGCTGCCATTCTCCATACAATCCGTACACACTACTGCGCTGTCGAAACCTGCAGGTGGGGAGAGGGGAAATAGATGATTTGGAGACAGAAAATCAACAACTGCATGTCAACAACTGGTTAGGGTTTGTGCTGTAATTATTTCTGATGCCGAGCAGGCCTCCACAGACAGCGGCGCTTCCTTTCATTGTTGTGCAACACACAAACTTAACTCATGGGAAAGTGGGAGAAACTGCTGGGCAAACAAATATTTGGAAGTCCGAGCAGAGGCGGAGCAGTCGGGTACCTGCTGTGTCCACGACGTGTCCGTTGGGCTGAGGTCCGCCACCGGCCTCCATGCGGATGCACACATCCTGCCGTTCGGACAGAGTGCCCTGGGAGGAGAGGTAGCTGGGAACGTCTGGAGGAACTATCGTCTCATCTGGGAGAGACGAAAGGACACAAGACATTACAACCAGGGCTGTGGATACTGTGACACTAGAGCAAAAACTTATGCTTCATTAATTACTATTTTGATAATCTATTAATCGTTCAAGTCATTTTTAAAGCAAAAACTAAAATCACGGGTTCCACCATCTCAAATGTGCAGTTTTCAAAGTTTCTAAAGTCATTTTTTAAGAAAACATGCCAAATGTTCTCTGGTTGTAGCTTCTAAAACATGAATATTTGTTGGTTTCCAGAGTCTTCTGATATTTAACTGAATGTTGTGGCGTTTTGGATTGTTAGCTGGACAAAACAACTCATGTGAATATGTCAAATTGGATTTTTTTTTCCTACTATTTTCTGACATTTTATAAGTAAACCATTAATATGTAAATCAAGAAAAACCAACAACAGATTAATAGATTTAGTAATAAAAGTTGCAGCCCTGCTCTGCTGATAAATTCTTTGTTTCAGATGTTGAATAAAGATAAAAATGGAAAATATCAGCTTTATTTGCTAAGATTCGTTCCTTTTGTGTTTTTATTATTTTAAATTAAATAACAGAAGAGAAAAAGATTGTTGAGTCACCTTGGGCTCATTGTCATTTTTTTCCCCATAGACTAAATAATTCATCTGCAAATCATGAACAGATTAATTGATTACAAAAAAAGTTTACAGCCATATCAGTTTTTTAGGCAGATTACTTTTTTGGTAGCGATTGCCTTAAAAAAAGAATTCCATGATAATGACATATAACAGATCCAAGATCACCTGTGTTGGTGACACTGCACTCCTCGCTCTTCTTCCTGGTCTGGTAGATGATGCACACCCACACCAGCGACGTCACCACGATACTCGTCACCACGGCGATGACTATGATCCCTATAGTCACCGTGCTCGGCCCCACCTGCGGTGTGCAGGGGCTGCGCCGCCCGGTCACCACCAGCTGGCTGTGAGCACGCTCGGTACCCAGGGTGTTAGACATGAGGCAGGTGTAGCGGCCGGCGTCCTCCAGCGAGGCGGAGCCGATGACCAGCAGCTGGTTCCCCGGGGTGAAGTGGTGTCTGTCAGAGGGGCGCAGCGGCTGGTCGTTGCGCAGCCAGGTGATGCGAGGCGGCGGGCTGCCCAGGGCCTTACACTGCAGGGCCACCGTGTCCCCGACCACCACGCTGCGGTCCTCCAGGTCCTGGGCCAGGTGGGGTGTTTCTGTGGAGGAGAGGACTCCTGAGGTCAGAGCTGATAATTCGTGTATGGCTTCAAAGTTTTAGGCTTCTGCCTCAGCTCAGCTTGTTCACAGTATTGATTACAGACTGGTGAGTCAGCTGGACAGACTGAGTTTGATATCCACGATCATATTTATACATCTGGGGTTACATCTGTAATGCTGACAAATTCATGCATTTTAATTCTCACTCAGACAAGATTCCTGTTGGGGCAGAATCCTCCTCAGAGCGAGGTTTCACAGCAGCTTCACATCGTGCTGAACTGAATGCGAGTGTTAACAGTAGGCCTCTCCTCTCAGACCGAGCACTTCCCCTCACACTGGGACATACACAGATTAAGAGATCTCACTTAACCCACTTCAGTCTCCCCTCTCTCTTCTATCAATAATTTCTCCCTCTCCATCAATCCCCCCGCTCTCTAGTACCCTGCCCTCTCTTTCTTTTTCTCTAAATCCCAATTCTGTACCTTCCCCCACACGCCGACTCCTCCATTCCAGTTCTTCTTTGGCTCCCACTTTTCTCCCCTGCCACTCTTTTCCAGACAGGGGCCCCTCAACTGCAGCCAGCCCCCCATCCCACCCCCCCACCCCACCCCAAAACCCAAACATCACAGATTCAGTCCAGAGGCATGGTCGCTTGCTTCAATATTTTACATTGTCGAGTGGATTAGAAGTCTAACAAGTCTCTCACAAGTCGCGCAACATGCAAATGTGTCACTAAAACACCGCCTCTGACCATAGAAACCATTGCTGCTGAGCTCTTTAGGGGACATTTAAGGCTTGTAACTATTATGTGTTAGCAAGGATACCTTTTCTTTTTTTTTTTAAGCTGTGTTCAACAAGGGACTGCTTTGCTCAGTTCAGAGACAAAGGACAAAGATGATCTATGTCCTGAGATGGTTATAAGAGAGCAGCTCAGTTTTGTTTGATTTAACAGTGTAAAACAGCCAATAAACTGAGAGCACTGAGGCCTGCAGTGAAGCAGCCATGACTGTCCCTCCCACCAAGAGAGGAGAAGGGGGGTGGGAATGCCTAACAAACACCCCTCTGTGAGCCCTCCTCACTTCCCCCACCATCCCCCCTTTGACCCTCAACTGTGACCTTTGGCCCTTGACCTGCACCAAGGCCACAGCTGCAGAGAAAAAGAAGAATATAAAGCCTCTCATTCTGCACCCTCAGACTGACCAATTCCCAACTGAGCAGTGAGGTATTTACAAGGAAAATGATGGACACTCAACACCAGTCGAAAACGGGCCAATATTAGCTCAAGTACACTACAACAACTACTTACCCAGCACGGTGAGGGTGGCGTTGGCCGATACGGTGCCCGCTGTGTTTTTGGCTGTGCAGCTGTACACACCCATGTCCTCCGGCTTCACGTCCATGATAAAGAACACGTCGTCGTCGGGCATGACGTGCATCCGGCGCTCCCGAGCAGCAGGGAAGTCCGTGCCGCCGTCCTTCTGCCAGGCGATCTGCGGTACTGGGTGGCCCTCTGCCGCGCACTCCAGCCGTGCCGTATGGCCGTCCTGATGGTGCTGTCCCGGGGGGTCTTCAAGAAGGACGGGAGAACTGTGGACAGAAGAGACACCGTTTACAAACAGTATCGATTTCTTTAACCCTTATACATTCAAATCAAGTTGACTGTCCACTTATTATTTAAGCAATTCCCCATTCCTAGTGATACAGCTCTACACTTCCACATGTGCGAGATGATTACAAACCCTGCTGGAGCAGTTTTGGGTTAATAACCTTGACAGCAGTTGGGTTACAGAGCATTCAGTTTTTTTACCCACACTTTTCACAGCTGGTGCTGACATTCGAACCGGGGAACTTCCGGGCACAGGTCCACTGCTCAAACCTCAACTGGTAACTGATGCGCCAAGACAATGGGCAAAAATAATTCTGCCATTACACCACAAATTAAAGAAGCAGCTAGAGAACTGATGCAGACTCGGGCAGGGAACCAAACTCTAGATAAATACTTTTTATTTGCAGAAAAGCAGAGTGACAGAGTGCAGAGGAGATGGCCGCTGTTAGCGCTGACATGCAGCTAAATCAATTTGTTCCGAATGCCATCCCGGTAGAGATGGAGGCCGAGCCAGAGAGGAACTTTATTCGAGTGAAAGAGAAGAACTCAGCATGGCCACTAATCTCAATCGCTGCTCTGCCTAATGGGACAATTGACACTCAGTTAAGTCTAACATAAACAGGCATTATATTTGGTGGAAATGATGTAATCACATAAATATCAACAGAGATATGGGAGTGTTGTTTTTTTTCCAGCCTATTTTTTCTTGCCGCTGGATCTCTAATATTCTTCTATTTTCACATTTTAATTGCCATCATACTATATATATATAAGAATGACTCAACGCTCCTCTTCCTTAACAATAATATAGTCCATCTTAATATAAATTCCTTTACTGAGCATCCATTTCAGACCCAAAAGTTCTTTAACCTTTAAAAAAAAAAAAAAATTAAGCAACCTACCATTGACAATGAGGCGGGCTTTGCTGGAGTAGGTGGAGCCAAAGTGGTTGGTGATGATACATTGGTAACGGCCCTCGTGGGCGAAGGTGACGTGCCGCAGGTGCAGGATAGTGGTGTACTCCATCACGCCTCCGACTGCACCCGGCGCATCAGTCGTTGTGCCTTGGTGGTGAGCGCGCACGTGGGCGTAGTTCTCCGTCTCTGCGTGGCGAAGTGGCTCCTGGTCCTTTCGCCATGCAAAGGTCATGGGGGAGGAGCTGCTGCTCGCGGCAGTACAGGTGAGACGAACGTCGCTGCCGAGGACCGTCACTGTAGTTTCTGGCTGCACTGTGATTTGGGGCTTTGGAAGGTCGTCTGAAGGTGGGAGTGCGATGGAAAGGCAGAAGTGGACGGAAGAAAGAAAGTGAGAAAAGGCAAAAGTACGTGAAAAAGAAGAAATGGAGCCCGGAGTGAGGACAGTTATTAGTTAGGGAAGAGATAAAAAGAAAAGACAAAGTGAGTTTAAGAAGGAAGCATAAATCACGTGTGGTTGATGCCAACATCACAAATGTCTCTCAGTAGGTGTCTACTTACTATGCATAAATGGAGGCCAGTAAAATACACAGAAGAACATTTGCATGTCTGACTGCAAATGCAGAGCTAAACTAAAACGCCACACACACAAATATGTGCGGCTACACACATAACAGAAAAGTGCCAAGCTGTCATTGTGGCTCTTGCTCAACACACCCGCTCACATAAACACAGACTAAGCACACACATAACTCACCACACACAAAGCTGCTGGATGGAGCCTGGAAGATGCTGGTGCCCTTAAGGCTCTCCGGGTGGGCACAGGTGGCGTTGACCCCGACCTGCAAACCACGTGTCACCAACCACTCGGGCAGCCAGTGGAGCTGGCAGTCGCACAGGAAGCTGTCGCTCTGAATGACACTGTGGAGGAGAGGAGAGAGGTGAGTACATGTGTTATATATCACATCTATTGCATCTGTAACTGAATATCTGTTTGTGAGAGAGTGTGCGGATGCCAAAAGCACTGAGAGATTTGAGCCGTGTATGGGTGTGTCTGCTGCTGGCTGTTTCCGCATGTGTGGATTTGTGCGCATACATTTAGGTGTATTTGTGTGAATGCATCAACATAACTCACAGGGTTTTGAGGTTCTTCATTTTACTGAAGGCATCGGGTTGGATGGAACGAATAGCATTATCTCCCAAGTTCCTGTAGGGACATTACACATTGTCTCATAAGCTGTATACACACTGCAGCCACACACACACACACACACAGACACGCTTTCATTAGCAAGAAACTGACGTCTAACCAAGGTAGAAATATATGTATGTCTTAAGATACACGCCAGCTTTTCCGTCCCTCCCTGCCCTCATTTGAAAAAGGCCTGTGAAAGAGCTTATAGGAATTCCATTTCTTCTGCAGAACTCACCATATGCTCAATAACTTTGTTCCTGCGCAGAGGCAGGAAAAAAAGGCCAAAGTTGAGATTGTACTAGGCTAACGAGAGAGAAGCAGCTGGGCGCACGCAAAAGCCTCTGTCTTCTCCTTTTACAAAGACGCTATTAAATTGCTTGCAGCCTGCTCTCTGCCAGCTACTTTTGGCAATACCCCCCACTACCACCCAACCTTCTTCTCCCCACACACTCTCTCCCTCTCTAGTTGGGAGGAGCAGGAGCCAAGCATTGTGGGATACTTACAGGTGTTCCAGGGTCTCAAGGCCAGAGAAGGCTTTCTTGGCCACCGACTTGATCTTGTTTCCAAACAGAGTCCTGCCGTTTCCAAACATGAAGGGTGTCCATAGATGAAGAGAGAGAAGCAGAGGAAGGGGGTGAGAAGAGGGGGTGGGAGGGGGTTGAAAAGAGAGGGAGGGGGGGGGGTACAATTAGCAAAGGCTGAATCTGATAAGAGTGAGGGGATTGAGGTATTGGAAATCTGAACTGTGTGGAGATTAGCCAGGAGGAAGGGTGAGGGAGATTGGATGGGGTTGGAGGGTGTGTGTGTGTGTGTGTGTGTGTGTGTGTGTGTGTGTGTGTGTGTGTGTGTGTGTGTGGAGGGGGAGGGGGCACCTGGGCTCTGCGCTGCTCTTCAAAGACCACTTTTATCTTTATTAGAATTTAATAGCAATGACCGTTCGGGGCTGTGTGTGTGTGGTGATTTTTTTCCCCCTGCAGAGCTTGTAAGGACACACGGGCAACCATGTGAGTGTATGTCTGTGCCTGTCAAGCCTGGTTTGAGCCAAGAAGTGAGCCGCTGTTCCCTCTGATTTAGGGTTCTAATCCCTTCTTCCACCCTCTCCCCGCGGCCACCCCACCACCCCCTAACCCAGCACCCTCCCTCGTCCCTCTCCTGTTGTAACCTTCACTTCACAGGAAGAGGAGACACGGCTGGCTGGTTCACAATGAAGACCCCAGTGTTTGAACTCATCCACATGTACATACAAACGAACGGCTGTCTCGTCACAAGCACCATAAAACAGCCACTTTGTCATTTTTTGCAACTTGTATTTTATAGGAATTAGACTGGGCTATCAAAAAAAAAAAAAAAAAAAAAAAAAAACTGGATAAAATCCAACCCAATGTGGCGGCCTTCACAAGCTGCTTTAGGGGAGTGTGTGTGTGTGTGTGTGTGTGTGTGTGTGTGTGTGTGTGTGTGGTGGACACTTTGATGTCTCACCCAATCTTTCTCTTTTCTACATCTCTTCTTTCCCATGACTAGCTTTGCCAGCGTTTTGGATGCAGCGGGCCGCTTCCGCCAACGGAGTGACAAAAAAAGGGGCAGGGTCAGAGGGCGGGGCGTGTGGGGCGTTTGATGTTGATGACTGAATACAGCCCTCAATTTCACCCTCTCTCAGTTCCTAACAACAGGGACTGGGAAAGAGGGGACGAGAGGAGCGGAGGCATGGAGGAGAAACAGAAATAAGCCTATTGGGGAGTGAACCCCTGCCAGCTTGAAGAAAAGCCCTTTCTTTCTCCCGTTCTTTCTCTTTCAGCGGCGCTCACACTGGGAACCATCTTGGCTGGACATCGTCTTTTCATACTACAGGTTGATGATTGCCGCTCAGTGCCAGAAACTCCACGTCCGCTTTAATTTCTCAACTCGCCAACTTTTGACATTTAACTTTTTACTAGCTGCCTTGATGGAAACATCGATGAGTAATCATGAAAAACAGATAAAAAATGATTCACTGTATCTCCTTCTTGAACCATTAGCAGCAAGGGGAGCCCCAGTTTGGCCATAAAGCTACACTGAAACAATGAAATCATAAGATGAAAGCCAGACTGAAGTGGGGAGAAACTGGTCTGAGCTTCCACAGGATGACAGGAGTAAAAAAAATTACCTTCGATGTTTCATGAACAATAATAAAAAGGGAAGAGAGTCATCGCTCAGTACAAACACTTCCCTACTAAGTAAAGTGTGGGGTCCTAAGGGGACCGATATCGCAAACTCAGTGGCCTTAAATCGGACCAGCTAAAGTGAGCTGGCAGTTAAGGGTGAGTCGGGATTTGGAGGGGAAACTTTTGGATGCAATTTTGGATTGTCTGTTTTTGAAGAACAGCAGAGAGGAGTGAAAAGGAGGGGTTGATAGCGGTGGAAACGGGGAGGGTGGAAGGGAAGATACTCACAGCTTGTTCAGGCTGTCCAACCCAGAGAAGGCCCCGTTGGTGTCCTCTATTGTCCCCGAGATGTCGTTATGGTCCAGCTCCCTGTGGAGAATGAGGGAAAGAGGGGGATAAGAAAGATGGAAGGAGAGAGGGGGAAAGGAGGAGAACGGGGACAGGGTCTGCCAGCACTGAAGTGTTTCACGGCCCTGGCAGAGGCTGGTCTGGAAGTCATGGGTTACCCCTTCGCCCACACTCCCCTCCCTTCCTACATCATCCTCCCCCCTCTGCACCTGGCCTTAAGAGCCCCTCCGCCGCTCTGCTCTGCCAACCAAGCGCATTCTTTCCTTAAGAGGGGTGGAGAAGGAGTGTGCATGCGAGTATGAGTGCACGTACGTTGGTGTGTCGAGGCAAAACCAGCACAGGGAAACACATGTATAATTCATGACAGCATGGAGGGATTGGCGGGAACACAATGCTTTGGGAGAGGCCAAGCAGTTGGGTTTGTTTGTCCGATGGCGGCAGGTATGGCACAGCCAAAACCAAAGCCAGGAGTCTTACTGTAATGAGGTTAGGAGCCGAGCTCAGCCATGGCCAGGCAAAGACAAAGTGTATTCAATGACAAGAAAGAAAAGAGAACAGAAAAAAGAGCTTCTTTTAAAGCGTTTGGGGGTTTCCAAACACTTGTTGAATGCGCTTCATTTCCCCTTCGCAAGGTCTAAAGAACCACCCCAGTAGGTGAAGTCATAGCTGCAGAGGAGCCACCACTCCACCCCTCCGCATGGTAAGAAAAACAAAGGAGTCAGAGGACTCCTCTGAACCATTAAAAGACTTTCTTTCAAACTTGAGAAAGGCCTTTGAGTTTGATGGTCAGCCACACCCTCCACAACAGCATCCTCTGCTCCTCCTCCCTTTGCTTTCCAAGCATCTCTGTTCCCCCTCTTCTTCTTTTCAGCCTCCATTGGCCGTTGTCTTAGTTGGACTGAACAGGGGCTGCCAATTTCCTATTCTTTCTGGCTGGCTGGATGTGAATGGCCACTGCCTTGTTAAAGCAAGGCCAGTGGTGGGGGCTGCAGAGCAGGGAGGCGCGGGCACGGAGAAGGGGGGCCCCCGATGAGCAGACAACCCCCGTGGCCGAATTAGAGGGCAGGCGGGCTTGTTTGGAGCTTTCACACCCCGACGCAGGCTCCAGCCCCATGCCAGCACGACCAGCAGCACAGGCCCAATTAAAGCTCCCCCAGCTCCTTTTCAGGGCCCAGCCTATGTCTGTCCTCCCCTCCAGTGATTAGATTAGGCCTGCTTCAAAAACACAGAGCGTGGTGCAAGAGTAGGAGAGAAAAGATCACGCAAAATCACGACCGAGATAGTGTGTGTATTGGGGGATAACAGAATAAACTTGGGATAAAGGGAGGGGAAGTGTGCTTTAAAGCCAGAAAAACAAAGTGAGCAATTAAAAGACAAGAAAGGAAGGCATCAGAAACATGAGATATGTCACAAGCTCAGCTCCCTATCCCACCATATGTTTCCCTCTGTAGCTAGTTATCTAGCACCCAGTGTGCCAGCAGAGAGAGGGCTTATGTGCCTTGGCTCGTTACCCAGCTGTAAGAGAGCTTGTCTAGCGAGCTCTGGCACAACTCTCCCCTCTGGCTCTCTCATCGGGAGGAGGCATAGCCAAGAGGACCTTGGTTGGGAACCAAGACCCCCAAGTCTTTCTCCTGGATTTATCCGCCGACTTTCTCCCTTTCATTCCCTCCTTTTCTTTCTTTAGGCCTGTTTCGGCTTTTTGTGCAAAAGGTGGATCATTGGTGGAAAAAGAAGCCTTTGTCTTTATTCATGGCTTCTAAAACGGGGAAGGATCTCAAGGGACGTGAGCTGAGAAGTTTTTGGGAACCAGTGTTCAAGACAAAACAAAAAAAACAAACTGAGAACAGAAAAAGCAGTTGCCACAGAAACTACGACACGACAGTGTTGCATGAACACCTCGTAAAAATAAAACTGAAACCTCATTAACAGACATGAATGTAAATGAGATCTAACCTGTATTGAAAAGCAAAGCTTCCTGAAGTCAAATGAGGCGACTTTGTAAGCTTAAATATCAAATATCACAGAGGCATACCAATAACAAACATCTCAGCTTTCACTGCTCCCAAGTGGCACATCTTAGCCTTATTGTCAGCAGTGGCAAAACCGTTGGGGAGGGGTTGGCGGGTGGGTACTTACAGGATGCGTACGGCCTTGAGGCCTCTGAAGGCTCCCTCGGTGATGTGGTTGATGGAGTTGTGGCCCAGACGGAGAGCGTGGAGATCCCCCAGCACAGCCAGGCTGCCTTCATCCAGGCGAGTCAAGTTGTTGTACGACAGATTCCTGGAGAGAGAAACGGAGTGCAAGACAGACAGAAGAGAGGCAGACACGGAGACGGAGAGCAAGAGAGCAAGGGGAAAAAAGAAGGAGAAACGTTCTGTGTGAGGTCTGGAAGGAGATGACAGGTTGGCAGCATGCTGAGGCAGCTCGCGACATCATTATACTTAAATTTCATGGCTGATGTCTATTTGCAACCCTGTCATGTGTTTTTCCATTGTGCCTTTTACTTCACCACAATGTGAACAGAGAATGGACTTAGCAGAGCTTAGAGCTCAACCAAAGTCCAAACCTGACAGGGAAGAAAAGAAACTCTTGGTTGCAGCTTTACATGTCTACAACCTCCATTTATAAGCCCACTTGAGCATGTGGTAAACCCCGGGGGAATGTACTGTCACTCATTTGTGCTGCAGCCCTCAAAATGTTACTTATTTTCATATCTAGCCGTCAAGTCTCTTTTTTTCTTACAAGGGTGGAGGAAATTCAAGTGGGATGTTAACAGTACATGGATTTCCAAGTAGTTTCACTTGATTTGGGAACGTGTAAATAAAGAACAGCTGACTGGAGGACATTTTTGATATATGTTGATTAACTAAATAAAGTCAAAACTTATTTAAATGACTTGAATGTTTTTCACAGTTTGCAAATAATAACGTTTGACAAATCTTTTTTTGACAAATTGACAAAATAAATGACTGTGATCAAATGAATGATGGTCAAAGGCAGTATTGTGCCTTTTATTGCCCTCTCTGTGGCCCCCCCGCTGTCTGTCTCTGCGGCCAGGCCTCAGGTTTGCTTGACCAGTCATGTGTGCAGAAATTCCCACTGATGACCAGCTTAGCCTGGCCCATTGGGAATGCAATAACAGGCTCCTCACAAAGACAAATCACTCTCTTCTATCAGTCACAGGGGTCATCATAACTCTAGATAAGAAAAATCATGTAACCGTTAACTGGTACAGCGCCGGGAGGATTCAAGGGGATGGCGCTGGGAACAATGTGTCATTCACAGACGTGCGCACAGGAACCGGCACTGAGATAGACAGAGCAAACTAACACGAATGCCATCTACAGCTTTATCCCTTCTGACTGTGACACATAAACAAACATAGGCGCCACAGATATACCCCAGGCCACCTCGCAGTTAGCAACGCCTCACCTGAGTAAAGCACTTTACAGCAGCAATACGATAGTCATGTCAACAGAACAGGAAAGACTCACAGATAACTCCTCATTGGCTAGACAAAGGCTGTGAAGGTGATCCTTCAGTGTAATTACCACAACACAACCGGTAGAGGATTACAAACTGGTCTGCCAACCCCCCGCGCTTCAGAACTGACTACAAAAACTCTTGTAGAAGGGCTTCAGTGCTGCTGAGCCCAGCTCTAATTATGGGATAAACAGGCTTATTCTGAGAATAGCGCTGCGTATATAGTGTTAAAGCACAATGTCACTGGGAAAGGTATATGGATGATATGGAGGGGGGTGTGGAGTGTTGCCAGAGACAGGCAAAATTTCACTCAGCAGTTATTTTTTGTTTTAAATATACATCTTGAACTTGTGTTTTTTGTCATCTCTAACTCTCCCACTGAAGTTATCATCCCAGGTGTGGGAACCACTGTCTGTGAGTGTTCAGGCTAATTTAAATGCTAGTACTCACAGTTCTCTCAGCTTCTGGCAGAACTTCCATCCGTCAGGGTTGATGCGGGCTATCGAGTTGTTACCGAGGAATAACTGCTGAAGGGAGGTCAGGCCGTACAGGGAGCCACTGTTCACCTCTGTCAGGCTGTTGTAGTCCAGGTGACTGCGAAGAAATGAGCAAAATAGGTATTACCAAGAAGTAGGAATTTAAGGATCTTGACACAGTGGTCAATGGTTGGTTTACGGGCAACATTTGAGTTTGGTGATAATTGTTATGCCCTGAAATAACCAAATTTGCAGCAGCATTTCTAAAAAAAAATGCAAAGCAATTTGTGACCATTACTGTGTTATTTTGCATGTAATTGAAATAATATGCAAAAATTGCAGGGCCAGCAGGAAAACGTGTGATTTCTGCAATAGTGAGCAACTTCCAGTATGTACATAGAGATCTTATTCTTATAATTTGCGGTCAGTGACTATTCCTGTAATAGTAACTGGGGGGAGGATAGGATTAGCCTATCAGGTAGTGCTTGCTCCAAGCTATGTGCTGCACCCACACTCCATAAATCAGATGGTAAGTCTCAGATATTAGTTTACATATTTTTTGTTTTAGGATTCTGATGTGATGTGGAGTGTTTAGTGCAAAAGAAGAAATCGTTCACACTATGTATAATACTCGGAATAAATGTAATACTATGTTTATGTATTGATACTGTTTTATTCTTTTTACATACAGGACTTTCATCTTGGCCAGGTCCCAGAAGGCCCCGTCAGTCAGTTTGCTGATGCTGTTTCTTTGCAGTTTTAGTACCTCCAGGCTGGACAAACCCTGGAAGGTCAGACCCTCCACCTGACGAATACGGTTCCTGTTCAGCTCACTGCAGGATGGACGAACAAACGAAAAAAAAAGAAAAGTGGCAACTGATCATTTGTGAAATCAGTGAGGAAGTTAATCATAATTTAAACTCTGTCAAAATATGCCTCACATTTCAGAGCAGGAAAACCATTTTTCCCCCTTTTGACTGGAGGATGTTCTGCCATCATTCTACATCAGCATCGATCACACTGACGTCAAAACCAAAGAATCCTGTAGCCCACACGCTTCAGTCAGACCACTCTGTAGTTAACAAACCCCGGGCTTAACAGGCATTCCTCAGTGGTGTCCTTTCCACCTGTGGCATGAGACCAGCGCTGTATAGCCAGAGGCTTTAGCTTATAAACAAGGGTGAACTTATGACCCTATGAATTAACAGTGGTACTAAGAAGGTATGAAAAGACAACGTGGTATAAGATTTTAAACGCCACAGTGATTCTTTATTCTGCATATGGGCCTGAGATGTCCCTGCATGCAACAGTGAATCTGTACATCGGGTGTGTGTGTGTGTGTGAAGGTTGTAACAGCCCTCAGCTGGTGATAACTATCCACACAGGTTCTTTTGTGTCGTATGTGTGCATCACCACTAGCATGTGCAGATACAGTGTCACCGGGGCCACCTGTCCAACAAAAGGCACCAGGGACTCCCATTACGCGAGTGCCTTTGCTCTCCAGAATGGAGGCGTTGAGCTACAAATAGGTGGACCTTACTTCTACGCTGGAGGGAAGTTTGGCGAAGATAATGGCGCACGGTGTGGGGAATGAACTAACCGCTTTGGGAACATGGAAGAAGGCAATAAATCACAGATAATATGGCTCCGGTGTTTGCCTAGTCAGACCTTATCCACCCCTAGAGGTATAGCTCACACTAATGGAGTTCCAAATGTTAAACACACACAGTTCGCTCAACAGACACTACAAACTCCTCCTCAATTAAACTCGTAATTCTTTTCACTTCTGTAATGTCTCCAAATGCTACAGCTGGGAAATTCATTCGTTTTCAGCCTAAAACACTAATGTCAAAAAACATACTGTTTTTGCAGGTTGACCTGTTCTGACAGATCAAAACACGGCCATGTCAGCACACTAACTATGTTGTTAAACTGATGAAACCCAGTGGTACTCACAGCTGCGTGAGCCTTGGGAGCTGGAAGGCTCTCACGGGGATCTGGCTGATGCGGTTTCGGCTCAGTCTCAGGACCTGAAGAGTTGAGCCCAGATGGTCCAGGGCGCCGAGCTCCAACCCGCTGATCTTGTTGTTGCTCAGGTACCTGAACACAGAATTTGCACATTTTGACATAAGAGATTTGTAAAAAAACAACATGTGTTTATGAATGGACTTGTTATTTTACATACTTCTTGTACGCTGTAATAAGTCCCCCCCATATGTTTTCATTAATTCACTCTATGCAGCTTTGGTATTGGTATTATGGATACAAATCTTAGGTTTGTCAGTTTCATTTTATTTTACGACTAATACTGATTGTTGTAAAATCCTTATTTCCCCTCAGGGACCAGTAAAGTCCCATCTTATTTTATTCAAGTACCTACATTTTGATGGGTGTGTTGTGTGCCACAGTAATACTCAGACATTGTACTTACAGGTCTCTGATTTGGAGGCCCGCGGGAAAGCACTGCCCTCTGAGCTCAGTGATGTCATTATTGCCCAGGTCCAGGGTTTCCAAAGAAACCAGCCCTCTGGTCCGCCTGCCGTCTATGCTGCGGATCTTATTATGATGTCTGGAAAATAAAATAAAAACACATAAAAAGGCATTAGGTGTGGTTGGAAATCCAACTCAAAGACACACAACTCTATCCTCTCCGTATTATTATCTTGGAAAATATTACCCTGCCCAACTACAGTGTCCTTTTCCCATCATCTCAAGGAAGACACTCCAAATCCCCCAGCTTCTCTAAACCCACTCTCAAGCACAAAGAGAGCAGAGTACACAGAACAAAGTGGTCTTCATCAACCACAAAATGTGTACTCTAAGAGCTTCCAAACAGAGGCTGGCCTTCTTTAAACAATTCCAAGGACACCTGTGCTTCTCAACAGAGCTTGGACACAAAATTGACTAGATAGATGGGGTCTCGGTGATCAACCAGAGCCACTTTAAAGGGGAGTTTGGAGTACTTCAGTCAGTGTGTGATGGAATGAAGAGATGGCTGTGTGATTCTCAAGAAGCTCTTGTCACTATAATCTTCCAAGGGCAAAGGAGCGGGAACTACTGACTACATAACAGGGAAGCAAAACTTTAAACAATCTTGAAAAGATGCAACAAAATAAACACAGGAAAGTCGATGTACCTGAACCCAGAGTGGAGCAGTAGCATAATCACCCTTTCTAGTTCAGTTTCCAGAGCCAACTACAAAAACACAATCATCCCACTTTTAGGAGTCTCCACACAAGGAAACATTACATCAAAATGCTTCAGCTCACACACACATTAAAATGTATACAGTGGGTGTATAATATGCAAAGCAAACTGACAAGTAACAGAAATATACAAACAGAATATACAAATAGACATCCTTCTTGGTACATCAGTGGCCTGTGTTACTGTGTAGGTATATGTGAGTGTGTTAGGAGTCTGATGACCAGTGTTATCTGAGCATACATGAAAGCCTTTGCTGGGTGACACTTTGACACATGCCTGGGTGCTAACTAGGGATGGGAATTTCTTTAGTATCACTTTCATTTACCCGACTATTCTAAAAATAAATAAATAACAAGAGTTTAAATAAAGTACCTTTATTTGTTACATAATAAATGATAAAAAAAAAAGCACTAGACAGATGACACCACGCAACAGCCATAGCTTCATGTACAGTCTGTTTCTGAGGTGCTCTCCAACTGTAGTGTTTTTGAGTGTCAACAGTACTTTTCCCTGAACTACATCTAATGCTATCCATCTACTCTCTCACTCACACACTCTCTCTTGTACGTGTTCATGTGGATCTGACGCAGGTCTCCTCAACGCATGGTTGACCACCATTAGTGTAGGCTTAGCATGGACTACAGCTCCACACTTGGCAGATAAACCAGATAACTACTGTGAATTGCATCACAGGAAAGAGAGCCAGTCTGAATGGGGTATTTGAACATCTCTTTCACACCTAGGACTTGTGTTTAAGCCCAATTTTCAAGCTGACCTGCCTGGGATCCATTTCACCCGAAGCTGATGACCCGCATGGGTTATCCCAAGGCAAGCCATTTACACAAGATGCAGGCAGGAGACAAACCAGGCAGTGCATCACGTCATCATCTTTGCAGAGGATGGACAGTTAATCACTTCAGTCCAGAACTGATCCCTTGTCACAGAGTGACCTGCATTACAAGTAGAAATGTTAACTAAATCGTAGATCTTGAGATCAATTCATTTGACTATGGAGCGTTTGAAAAAAAGTGAGTGTGTTTGACAGAAAGAGCAACAGAGAGAGAGCAGGTGTTTCACCAGTCACACTTTAAAACAAGGTCAGTCTCTCCTTCCTTTCTAGCCTTCAGCCAGATGGACACGCGCACGCGCACGCGCACGCGCACGCGCACGCACACACTTATTGGTGTCTGAGAGAAGGAGGGGTCACACCACAGTGGGCCACCTGAATAAACAGTGGCAGAAATGGTTAAGGATGAGCCTTGCAAACATGCCTGGGCAAACACACACACACACACACACACACACACACACACACACACACACACACAAATAACAAACGCACACATGGGACAACAGACAGTGGCTACAGTGAGCCTGAGCAAATGAGGGAGGGAAGGAATGGGGGAGGAAAGGGGTTGGGGGAGAATGAAGTGATGAGGTGGGGTCAACAGCTGGTGACCTTTGCTGGGAAAAACAGTCTCAGTCTCAAACTGGTGGGAGAGGCTACCCTCTCTCACTCCGCTTTCCATCCACCACTCAAACCAGATTCCCTCTCCTCTCTCCTCTCACCCTCCTTCCCTCTCCCTCCCACAGCCAGAGCCCAGCTGCGTGTGAGAGACAGATAAAGCCCCGGCGCTCAGCGTGTTTGAAGTCCACACATACAATAGGAACGTTTATAAAAACTGATTATCATACGGCCAGTGACATTTCTGATAAAGAGGAGCTGGGTTCACTCTTGTTCCCTTTGATGCCCGGGGGCCTTATTCGCCTTGATTCCACTTAATTCCAAATCTCATTACCCTGCCCCATTGACCATCTGATTATCATGAGCTGGGCTCCTTTTGACACTTCTTTTGATGTATGGAAAGTGCAGCAGCGGTTTACACTAGCAAGCCAGTTTCCAGTGTCATCTTTGGGGGCGATTGTTTGGCCCGTCCCTTTCCGTTTGAAGTTGCCGGTCGGGACAAAAGGAGATTTTTTTTCAAAATCAGATCATCCAGCGGGCCATATGATTTCTATCCCGAGCTGTTTTAAAGGCCCCCTTTGATGTTGACTGAGCAGGCGATGAGCACAATAGGAAAGTTTGTGCTGCTCTGCTGTCACTTTGACAGTCTGTTTTTTTTAAACTTTTTGATGCTTCTTTTTTTGCCATCCTGCTGCGGCATTCTGGGAGTCTGCGGGATGCCAGTGGGCTCGCCAAGTGCAGTGTGGGACTGTGGGAGCCTGGCATATGGTCTTTGGTTAGTTCAGCAGTCCGCTGTGATTGGTTAATGGGCATTTCACCAAGTGATAGTGACTGGCCCGAAAGACAAGTTTAAAGTGCAGCAACACAAACACACACTCCAACTCATCTGTGCCTAATAAATTCCACAAGAGTGGCAGCCATCAAAAAGAGCTGCCGGACATGTCAGTGAAAGGAACGGGATGAAAGCTACAGGAAGTGGAAAAAGGCAAAAGAAAACAAAAGAAAAGCCACTTCTTAGCCACACAAGAGATTAAGAACAAAGAAAAAAGCAGGGGAGAAAAATCCAGCCTGCTCACCTATCCCTTCTTAGTCTACCTATTTGTATTTTATTTTTGATACAAGGCTACTGTACGTCTTTAGAATTTTGTATATTGTACAGGAGTAGGTCATCAAGCAGTTGGTACATAAAAACGTATCTGAATCAGATAGCTTTGAATAGCCATGTGCTGATAAAATTACACAGTCTGATGATTATCTTGGAAAAAGTTAAATCATCAACAATCTCGACAGCTGCTGAATTAACATGAAAAAATCTTTAAGCAGTATTAAATATATGCCAAAGTTATTTTTTGGTATGGAAATCACATTTCCAATGAAACCATGTAAAAATATACAATGTTGAACAAAAACTGTTGTTTCTGTTGCCTATTTTTTGTGTTTCTGATGCTCTCTCCACCTCTCAATATGACAAATACTGTGTGTAACTACTAGTGTTTCATTCAGTGCAGTGCGTGGCATAGTATGACAATGACAGTAATTAAAACTTACTAAAAAATACAAATTTACTATAAATGTTTGTCCTTTCTCACACCACAGAAATTTAAACTTATTCAACATTTAGAAAGCCAGAAATCCTGGAAACTTACCGTTTTCTTTAACTATTTAATGTGTGTCATTCTACAAAAATCATTCACTTCCATCACAGCAATCGTCAGCAAACACAATTCAGACTCTGAGGCAGTCAGACACTAGCAACCACATACAATGGGCTCTCAGCCTTTGGGAGCGTTCACTGTGGGATGGGGGTGGGCTGAAAACAGATTCTCAGTACATTTGCTTGTGTGTTTGTGTAAGTGTGTTTGTGTGTGTGGGTGGGTGAGGGTGTGCATGCATGTGTGTGTCGCACAAACTTGTAGTCAGACGACATTCCAGAGTATCTCAAGCAATGGCACAGGAGCAGTGTCCTGCAGTCTATACTGCTGCCTCTGCCAGGGCGCATACACAGAAACACACTTCAGAGGGCTTGTTGGTTGGCAAGGGAGACGGAGAGCATTGGATTTACTTTTGGGAATAACCCTGAGCATGAGCTCACCTCTCGCTTCCCTTTGCCTCTCCATAACCTCCTACCGCCTCCCCCACTACTTCTCCTTAACCATTCCTCTTTTGACATGTGGTGATGTCACCCTGATCTGACACTAATCACCCCCCCCATCCCTCCCTCCCTATTTTCTCATCCTTCCTCCCCTTCTCACTGTCACCCATTTTACTGTAAGCCATGTGACTGACAGCTGCAGCTGCAAGTGTTTCAGCACGCCTTCACTTCAGCTGTGTGGCTTTGTAAAGATCCAACCCTCCCTCCAGCCTCCACTCCCACTAGGCCTACAGGCCTTCCCCTAGCAACAGGCTTCAAGTCAGGCCAAAAAAAGACACCACGATCATTTAGAGAGGCTGCGACTCTGCATAGCTTGTGCGAGTAAAAGGTGAACTTGCTCCGACAGAAAGCAAAGTGAACAGGAGTTTGTGCTAAACCCTACAGACAGACGGATAAACAACCTAATAACACGCAATAATAACAGCGCTAACCTTTTGGAAACCTGACAAATGTAAACAGACACATGTCAGAGTTGCTTAATCAAACCACAAATTCCCCCTTACTAACTTGTCACAGCTTACAGAAATGCTCTGTCCCCATTAGTGCATAATGATCAATTCTGAGAAGCAGCAGATGACACACACGGAGAGGGTGAAGGTGTGACTTCTCCAGAGCTCACCGTCGAAAATGATACGACGATGACCAACTTAACAGGAACCAGCAGCTGCGTACTATACTACCAGTCAGTCAGACGATAAGCTAGCAAGGTGTAAAATATATATACGGAGTGAAGCTAATGGTTAGCTTAGGAGGGGGTTTAACTTTCTTGTTTCAGGTTAGAGAGATGTAAGAATGTTCCCTGGTCGCATGAGGGGAAAAAACTATGGCACGCTGGAAAACAATAGTCCACCCAAAAGATGATATTGGTAAAGCTCTTACACAACTGTACTTATCCCAGTGTGTGTGCGTGCGTGTGTTTGTGTAGAATCGTAGACATAAGAAGGAACATTGCCATTTATCTTGTTATAAGAAGTGCTACAAGCTTTCAGATCAAAATCAGCCTTTTGATTTTTATCTTAGGCTTATTGTGGTCTAAACTTAGAAAGCCTTTCATTGTACTGTATTTGTTTTGTGTGCCTCACATTCCTTTAGACATTGTTGAGCATCATAGTAACGCAGAAAAATGTCGGTACTGAGTTAACTTAAATGAAACTGAATACTTAAATAAAAGTGTTGAATGAATCATGAGGTCTGGCTCATGAAAGTATGGTGTGAACCATTTCTTTAAGTAACAGTAGCTCAATAATTACTACTTTATTCCAACGAAATATTATATAAACTGCACCTGTATTACCGTTATCATAATATTTAACATGATATATTACTGTGCATTTCCCCTCAAATGTTTCAGTTACTGGCTTCCAAACAGAAAGTTGAATAAAGTTGTCAAACTACCGCATTCTCGCCAGGAGTTTCCCTGCAAAAATGAGGCTGTTGATAGACTACCGAGCTCACGTTTGTGACATACACAAGCACACACACGCCCTTCCCAAATAGGGCTGTAAATCTCCAGTGGGATGCCAGTACAGGCAGTACCCACAGACGCAGTTTCACAACTGGGAGCAACCAAGTTGGAACTATATATACACGAGCTGACACTCCAAGCAGCCAGCGCCGCTCACTGTGGACAAGACCACATGGAGATAGCTAATAAGACTAGTCAGTTACTTGACCACATACTAATCGCTCAAGACAGAGCTTCATATTTACGCCGACGGAGATCAAGTGGAGAGGGAATTTCTGATCTAGTTTAAGAGAGTTACATTTGTTGCTAATGTCACATTAATGCAGCATTACTTCTGAGATGGAAAGCCATATACATCCTCCACAGATGTCAAGATACTATTTCAAGAGCATGTAAAAAGAGGCCACTGACCTAAGAAAACAGAAAAAGAGAGCCAGATAATTCTGGTGCCATGTTAAGAAGTAAATGGGGCGGTACTCACAGATAGAGAGATACAATCTTGGAAGCAGCGTGTCCTAAATCTGGTATGGAGGTCAGCTCATTGTGGTCCAGCCGCCTGAAAGGGACAAACATATAAATAGTAGTAAGTTAGAGAACAAAACTGTGCCACAGAGGTATTTTTCCAAGTTGATGACTGAAAACTAAACAAAAATACAAATTCTTATTTTAAATCTCAAATTTAGGCACAAAAACAGAGCCTGCATCAAACTAAAGCTACACTCACTGTGTAGCACAAAATGTACATGCTCACATCACGTGACACAAATTTCATTCAAACCCTGTATAAATCAAAACATTTCAAACACAACTTGTCACGTCTGCCACAGAGCAAGTAGCAAGTCATCCTTTTAAAAAACAAAAATAACATGGGAGTAAAACAGATGTCGAGGAGCGTTTGACTGACCCGCCGGCCTGCCAAAGATGTCACCAGTGTGTGTATCACCAGTTAGCTTGTGTATGTGTGTGTGTGTATCTTGTGTGCTGGCGCTGAGTGACACAGAGCCAAGCCCTCTCCTCACCATATAAAATATTTACAAGGCCGGCGTTGGCCACAGTATCGGGTGGTGGAGGGGAGGCTTAATATAGAAAACCACCACTTTATTCTCAATTGGACTTAGTTCAAGGCAACACGTATGAGGATGCTACTAGGAAGTACAATGGCGACCATGGACGTTAGTCAGAATTAAGTCATTGATAAAAATGTAGCGCAACTCGTGGATCAAAACGAACTACAGCAACAGTCAGAGCTGAACATTTTAAAACACTTCTGACAGAGTCCTTTAGAAAATGTTTAGGTTGCTGTCGACTGCCTCGGAGGGAATCACGTGCATGTGTGAGTATTTTGTAGTTGACTACTTACAGCTCTCTCAAATTGGGAAGGTTGTCAAAAGCTTCAACATTGATGGCGGACAGCTTGTTGTGGCCGAGATTTCTGAAAAAACACAAAGAAGTAAATACAATTATGTTCCAACAATCAAAATAGCAGCAGCGCCAGCGACATTTTTCATAACTTTTATTGTATCTGCCAGAGCCATTTTTCAGTAGTTCAAATAAGGATCACGATCAATAACAACAATTATCTCTGCCATTTGACAAACAGCCTCGTCCCTTCACATTCTGTATGCCTGAAAACACTGCAGTACATCCATTCAGCGGGCCCTCAAGGAGGGCCAGATCAATACTATCAATACAGAGTGTCTCTCTCTCTTGGCTCACCTTCCAAACATAACCCACATGCTATTCATCTGCAGCAGTCAATTTGCACTTTAGATGGTGTATTTAATAGCTGACACTTGACTTGTACAGAGGCTTATTAGAGTGATTTGTCCAGTGATATAGCATTACCGCCTTCAGAGAAGGAGGGGTTGTGTGTGTGCACATATGCATTTCACACAAAGCTTCCCACAATATGAATAAAACTTATTTCATGCATAAACAAGACACACAAACACACACACACATACACACCCACACACACACACGTCTGGCCTGCCTGGCTGGCATGCAGCCTGCCTGTTGGCAGAGAGCAGGCTGCAGTGAGAGTGGCGTTTGTGTGGTTGGGTTAGGCTAGGCCAGACAAAGGGAGCCCACAGCTCCGAGCCGCCTGCCTCCCGCCCCTCCATCCCTCTGTCCAGACGTGAGAGACAGCCCAGGAATGTTTCACAGGCTTGCCGAAAGATGGCTGCTTGTTCCCAGACACTGGGGACACTTTAACCTGATGCAACACATTCCTCATCCTCTCATCCCACCGTGGCCTTAAAAGACCACTGCGGGGGGAAAGGAGCTTTAGGTTGAACTCTGTGGCAGGAACCGTTTCTTCTTTCTAAAGAAGGCAGGCATGGATATAAAAAGCTGATGTGAGGAGGCTGGGTCAATACCGTAGCAAAAAACTGTTATTGTCTTACATCATACACTCTTTTTATTCTATCAATCAAGTCTGACTCGACAGATTTCCCTTTCTTGTCTTTGCTTGATTGCAGATAATGACAGTCTCCCTCCCTAAATCTTTCTCTGTGTGTGTGTGTGTGTGTGTGTGTGTGTGTGTGTGTGTGTGTGTGTGTGTGTGTGTGTGTGTGTGTGTGTGTGTGTCTCAGATAGTAGCAGAGCATGTGTCTGCCCTCCAGGCACAGGCCTGAAAGGAGGTGTGCATGTGTGTCTATGTTATGATCATTTACTGGGGCATCTCCAACCAGGCCTAGATCACAAACTGTCGTCCCCTGTAACAGGAGGCAATTACCTTGTTGAATGGTGAAACTAAGTGAAAAATCACACGGCTTTCTTATGGGCCGCCTCTGCCTGGAGGTACATATTCTGTTGATCCATTACCAGTCCCAGCACGACTCGCCTCCACTTGGTTTTGGCCCGCAGTCCTCCATTTTCTATTGCAGATAGTACCCGGAGATAGTACCCCTCCATGTAGCTGGTCGTCACAGCAATACCACACACAACTGCCGCGATATAATGTTCAATGCAACACACACACCAGCGACCCACAAACAGCTCTTGATTTAAGTTAAAACATTTCAACATTACTCAGAATGTAAAGACAGATAAGTGGTATAAAAACTTTCCAGCTGTGTTTTCCTCTGCCGTTGTTGCTGCAGCGTTCTGTGTGACGGCGGGAGCAGAGGGCTCTGTGAGCGGGCAGCTGGCCGACCGCGTGAGCTCCTCTCGCGGGTTGCCGCAGGCATCCCCCGCCGCCACTTGGGGAGCTACTCAACTCCGAAATCTACACAGCTGATTTCTCACCTCAAAACTTCTCAGAAGTGGATTTAGTGATGAAATAATGTATGAAAATTGTAAAATATAAAATGATGACGCAGTGTATAGTGGCGATTCTCTCTGACTCATCAGGTGATGCGAAAAAAAAGTACCTGGTACAAGTACAACTTTCCCACAATGGAAAACCAAAAAAAAGTGAGTAGAGTCGAGGCGAGCTGGTACTATGCAGTGGAAAAGGCACTATATATTCAGCCAACACACACACACACACACACACACACACACACACCTTGAACTTGGGAGAGTCTCGTCATCTGGAAGAGCAATCAGTTCTTTTTATCAACCTGCTTTTGGCACAAAACAAGTCAAGGAAGTCCACTAGAGAACCTCGCATTACAAGCAAAGAAAGATTTATGCAGGAACATTACATCCAAAGAGCTTTTTTAGCATTTAAAAGGCAGAGGAAATTGGCTATGCACATATTCATAGGCATGAACTCAAAGCTTAAACTAAAGAACAAGGCAAAACAGAACAAAGGGATGACTAACAAAAAAAGCAAGTCACATTTGAACTCCAATCCTGCCGTACTGAAGCTAAAGGCACTGCAACAAACAAAACTGGTCCTTTGTGCGTGTACACAAGCATGCATATGCTTATTTCTGTAGTGTCACCTGTAGTGTTTACTCCACTAATGGGCAAATTCATGAAGATTGCGCATCACTTGCACCTCTATCTGCCCCAGTCTCAAGGTCCGATAACATAAGATACTGACCTAACAATATTACAGAGCAAACACGGCGTCTCTAACTGCGTGTGGCTATCAGCGTTGGTGTTTGTGAATCAGACTTTTTTTTGCAATGAGGCTCATTTGCATAGGAAGGGGCCAATTTTTTGTGCCAAATTTTACCATATTGCATATTATCCAATTTAAAGATGTGCAAACAGCAAGGGAGCATCGAGACATTATTTGCTTTTCCTTATGTGGATTTGCATCTGACTCTTTTTCCCTCCATCTCATTCAGACAGATTTACTTTCTTGCCTATCAGATTAGACAAGTTTTACAGTGTTTCAACGCCTACTGTGGGAGGCAATGGTGATAACGTTGGTTTCCCTCCCAGACGTGTGGGGTGTGGGACAGACTCCAGTGTGCTTAATGCTTTCCAGAAAGTAACTTTACAATCATGCTGTTTCTGGAAGAATTTGCCATGCCGGGATTAGAAGCCTAGAAGTCATGAGAGTTTTGGACTTGGAGAGGTTTAGACACCCAGACCAGAATGTACTGAGAAAAATGAGAACCTTCCACATAACCTGTCAAACTCTACACTAGGTGCAGAGAACAGACCAGCGTTTACGTCACATCATTCAACCAGTCGGAAAAGGATGTATAGCTGAGATAGGAGTGGCTTTCATGATTAACCATGGCAAAACTACAAAGCCGATTGCCTTAATGCTTCAAACACGGCACTCCATTGTATGGTACAACTAGTTTACACAATTGAGCAGGAGTGTTTGACATTAGTCAGCGGGATTAAATTCAAAAGCACTCTCTGCCAGGTATGTAACCAAAGAACGTGTGTGATCATTTAAGGCTGCATGTTGAGCCAAATGCTAATTTTCCCAATGAATTCAACCTTTGTACAGTAAATGATATATGGTTTAATAGCATTATGAAAATAAATGTATCACTGTAGCAATTTGTAAAAAACTTAATAATAATCAAACAATAACTACTAACCACAGAAACGTGCAGTGATTAATCTGGTGGCACACTTCAACCTTCATTCAACACGCAAATTCCTCTGAAGTCATCATATTTAAGTCAAATCTGTATATATTGAAGCTGGCCCCATTCAACATTTACAGTCCGCTCTAAACTATACTAGCCAACCTTTCAACTGTGTTCTAGCAAACTGCCGGCCATCAGTGCACACAAAGGTCAGCATGACCTCTTTTCTGTCAGTAGAACTGGAGAGACAAGAAACACGAGGGCAGCTGGAAAGAGTGCTGGTCTGGGACAAAGAGGTGCAGTTTATACTCCCACCGTCCAACCCCACCCAGCCACCACAACCCAAACGCCTCTCCGCACTTTACAAACAATAACCACAAACACTGAGACACTGTTAAATATCAGGAGGAAAAAGCTTGTCTATGGAACACGCCAGAAATTTGAAACGCGAGGCCGCAACGTAATAATACCACAAAAAATAGCAGACAAATGGCAATGTCTGAAACAATCACCCACCTGTTGCCCTGAAGCAGCGTCACTAGCTTAGTCAGTTAATGAGTCCATACAAAATGAACTGATGACGATGTAGATCATTGAGTAAGTCACCTATCAAGTACAAAAACAAGTATTTGCTAGTTGCTAGCTTGCTTTTCTCACATCCATGTCATTACAAACATGTACAACCTTGGGTTTTTAGACTGTCTTGAGACCCTAATAACTCATCTTTTGTTTTTACTTTTTATGGGCTTGATCAACTGATAATCAGCCAACCACTGGAAGGATATATGAGGAACCTGAGAAATATGTTTATTTGAATTGAATCTGGAGAGAAAGTCTTCAAAAGACAACGTGATAAACTAAGGCCCGTCTGACTAAGCAAACTGTCTAAGGAAGAAAAATAGGGCTCAGCGCCTGCAGTACACCGTCACTGCTGGACCATGTAGCTGATCTAACATATTAAACTTATTAAAAGGCTTTAAAAAATAGCTGTGTTATGGGTGCTGTGGGAGTCGAGGAAAGCTGGGAGTACAGGAGTGATGTCATCGCATATGACACTATGCTTGTAAGTCTGTGTGTGGGAGAGAGGAGATATGGGGAGGGAGGAAGAGAGCAGGGACTTGCACATACAGAGATGCATCATCATTATCTTCCCCCATTTCTATCTTAGATAAATGCTGTGCGAACTTTGCTCGCTGAAAGTGTGAAGTGATGAGCCTTCTATAGACCAGCTGGGAGACAAAGGCCCTTTAATAAGGTCGTTTTCAGAGCATCATAAAACTAGTCAAATAAGTGTCAGAGGGCCAGACGCGCACGCACACGCAGGCACACGCACGCACGACTCTTCCTGTCATTAAGGGCCAGTTTATAGCCAGGCAACTGCAGTGAGAGTGTACACAAAGCCAACACCAGCTCCAGGCCACCATTTTACACACCAGTCATCCAGAGGAAGGAAACAGGCAGAACAAAGCCGGTATCTTATCAA